TAGGGGAATTCAATTTCTTCAAGTATAGGGAAAAAAAAAAAATCAATTAACAAAAAAAAAAATTATAAAAGTTGAAAATAATTAACTGCAATTAATGTGTTTTCTTTTAAATATAATACCATATTAATATCTTCTAATAATACATTTTAAAAACCACTAAAATAAAAATTATTAAAATATCCTCGAATGTGGCCCGTGTATAACAACAAAAAGAAAACAAGTAGAAAAGAATACTGATTCAGTTTACTCCTAAGAAGCTTCAACGGAACTCTGCCTGAATTAGTATTTTTACTATACTATATTATGTTAATTTGAATACATCATATTCCTAGATTCTGCACTTTCTAGCACTTTACAACACAGATTTTTTCTACTTTTGAACACTGGAATGTTTTATTGTTAAAGGATTAACTAGCAGTCACACTGTACTTAGCAATCACATTACAAAAGTCAATGCTGGGCTGGGAGTGTGGCTCAGTGGTAGAGCACCTGTATGCATGAGTTCCTGGATTCGATTCCCAGCACAGAAAAAATAAATATCAGTAGTTAATTTATTCCATGTCTTGATATACAAGTAGTTTGCAATGACCTAACTTGCACTATAGCCCATAATTAACTGGCTGCCAGCTTTATTTTTATGTCTCTAGTATTAAACTACAATAATTATGATTATTTTCGTAATTTTAATAGCATGATTTATAATTATGATGGTTTTACAAGTAAGAAATAGATATAAATATAGTTTACATAGCAGCCCTTATTGGAATTTTACTTGAGATAGACAAATACTTTATGAGGACTATATGCTTCTTCAAACTAAACAGGAGAATTTGTTTTTAAATGTTTAGATAGTATTACAGTCATGCAACACAGTAAGACTTAAAATTGAGTATTTCTTGTTATAATTTTTGGAGCTTACAAAGAAGATTCTACAATAGGTAACCAACAAACAGCTTCAAATAATAACATAATTTAATGTAGAAATTCTAGACTGATAATGGTAAATCCATTGATGACAAATAGGAACACTACCAGTCAGAAGATTATTAAGTTAAAGTACCACTCCAACCCATTTATCTGTTTGAAGATTATACTAAAAGAAGGAAATGCAAAATAAAATATTACCAACTTTACAAAAGGTAAAAAATACTTACTGTGTTAATAACTTCCAATTCATTAAAATAAGAAAGCTTTTGTTGAATGTTTTCAGCCAAATCAACAAGTTCCGACTTGCATTTTTAAAAGAAAAAAAATCAATTATTAAAAGAATATAAGAGCATGAGAATCAACCCTCTAATGTCAAAATTACTTTCAATAGACTTGGTTTAAATCAGATATGACTTCAGGATAAAGCTCAAATATTACTGCAGTCATGAACAAAAAGAGGAAATAACTGCTAAGTAGCATATGATCTTTTATAAAATAAGTCCCTGACTTTTAAAAACACAAAAAATACAGACGAAATTCTGAGATATAGTCACATCAATGCTCTATCTCTCATTGACAAGTACAATCTGAGATCAATTTTTTTAAAAACCCACTATTAATACAATCACTCCTCTTGTCTGAAGACTGTCAGTAACAGTGGACAGAGCAGAATAGTACAACCACTGCACTCTGAAACTGCACCTAGCAGATCAGAACAAGAAAAGCTGCCTTTGCCCATGTTCACTTTATAAAAGTAGGCTGTCCTCAAAGCAATCTGCATGTGTAGCACAGTCTCACACAGGACATCATTCAACATCTACTTGAAGAAATTAAGGAAACTGAAATTAAATAGTATTTGTCTATTTAAAATTAAAATATTAAATATAATTGCTGACTCTCTCTCTCTTCTTTCTGACACCCAATTACCTGTTCTTTTAGGAGCTGTTCACAGGCTTCATGTAGAGTTCCTGTCTTATTGGACACAAAAAGATACTGTTTCTGCAATGATTCCAGATGCTGAAGAGCATTGTTTACATCATTCAATATAGCATCACACTGCTCCTGAAACCCAGACAAGTAATCCCTCATCTGTCTAGAAAACAGAACCAAGAGGGGATTGGCAATAACATTTTCCCCCAATAGGCACAGTCAATAAACAACATAGTCTCATCTTTTCCAAAATGCTTAAATTTCACGAGAAAAATTGACCTCCCCCACAATATAAATATAGAAAAAGCTGGTTCATAAATGGTTTTAATACTTCAGAAGGCCAGTCACTGATACTATAAGAAATAGAAGGAATTAGTCTTAAAGGCACAATCTGGCTTTTCAAAGGGAAGGCAAGAAATCACTGGGGTCAACTGTCAAAGACAGGGACACCAAGACATCCCAAAGCAACAAGGTCATTCCTTCGGATAATTGCCACTTTGAAAGATGATGTAATGTGAAAAGAATTTTGGATTTGAGACTAGAAAACACTGGCCCAAACTCCAGCTCTACATAAGTCCAAATGACATTAGCAGTTACTTAATGTTTCCAGGCCTCAGTTTGCCCACTTGTAAAGTAGGAATAGCTCCTTACTGAGCTACTGTGGACAGTAAGTAGGAGCATAAATCCCTAACACACTGCCTAGCAACAATGGACGTCAATAGATGTTAAATAAACATGAGTGCAGAGTCCAATCCTAAAATCAAACTATACAGGGTCATTTTTTCCCATGCTATCAGTCAGTATACACTAGTTACACTCAATCCAGGTGATCACCTCAATGTTTCTCCTTAAACAAACATCTCGTGGAATTCTTGTACAGCTTCTACTTGATCCAAGTCCTTCTGGAGTTCTTTTTAAAAAACACACACATATAATTTCTAATACTGATTATAATAACCCAAATCCTTTTTCTGGCTATTCTTAAGGAAAATGTTCAAGAGTTTTCTTTGCAACTTAAAGACACAGACTATGAAATGGTTGAAATGACTATGGGCTAAAAATTAGGACAGCCAATAAGTACAGGACCCACACATACCTGTATTTTGTTCCTTCATCCTGATCCATCTGAGTTTGAAGCTCTGCAAACCATGAGAAAAACTGGAAAATAAATAGTATTATACTTTAACCAAACTAAAAAAGATAAAATGAAAATTGACTACACTCCTGGGTATGGTTGTTAACCAAACTAAAAAAGATAAAATGAAAATTGACTACACTCCTGGGTATGGTTGTACACACCTTTAATCCCAGCACTCAGGAGGCAGAGGCAGGGGAATCTCTGTGGGTTTAAAGCCAGCCTGGTCTACATAGTGAGTTCCAGGCCAGCTGGGGCTACAGGAAGACCCTCAAAAAAAAAAAAAAAAAAAAAAAGTAGACTCTAAATCTTACAGCTTTGTTTAGGGCTGTCATTAACAATTAGCTATAAGCTTTATAAAATATATACTATCTATACGCCAGGGAAAGCAAAGGATATTAAAAAACATTGGTCATTTCCTGAGTCAAGTAAGGAACAGTATTAAAGACAGATGTAAAAAATGAATATTTCAGAGACAGGCAGATCTCTGTGAGACTGAGGCCAGCTAGTCTATATAATGAGTTCCAGGTGACCTGAGGCTAGGGAGACCCTGTCAAAAATTAAATAAACAAATAAAATAACCAAAAAATAAATATTTCTTCTTAAGAAGCTAATGCCTGTCATGCACAGTGGTGTACACCTTTAATCCCAGCACCTGGAAGGCAGAAGCAGGCGGATTACTGTGAGATCGAGGATTACTGTGAGATCGAGGTCAGCCTGGAATGTTCTATATAACAAATTCCAGGCCAGCTAGAGCCACACAGTGAGAACCTATCTCAAAAACAAACAACAACAAATGGTGAAAATATAAACTTGAAAAACCACATTCATAGTGAGTTAAGAATATGGACTTTGGCACCATCTGAACTTCAGGCTGAATCTGACCTTATACCAATATTACAGAAACTATTTATTATTTTTTAAAAAACTGGCATGGCAGTACATGCCAGTAATACCAGCATGTAGGAAGCTGAAGCAAGAGGACCACAAGTTCAACCCAGCTTGGGCTACATATTCAGAGACTGTGTCTAAAAAAGAAAGAAAAGAGGGGGAAAAAAGTAAAAAACCAGTAAGAAGGTTGATTTACAAAAACATTTGAGGAGAATAAAAATGTTTTGCATCTTAGCCAGGTATGGTGGCACATGCCTATAATCCCAGCACTTGAAAAGTGGAGGTAAGAAGACAAAGCTCAAAGCCAGCTCGGGCTACATAGTGAGTATAAATAAGGCTAGCCTATACTACATGAGACCTTGTCTCAAAAAAACAAACAAAAAAAAGTTTATATCTTGTTAGCAGAAGTAGTTATAACAACATATACACTTGCCAAAACTCATCGTTAAAATACTTCAAAAAGACCAAAAAAAAAAAAAACTTTAAATAAGTACATTTCATCATATAGAAATTATAGCCAATAGATCTTTTAAACTTTTAAAATAGATATGCAAGTGTGAATTTAATGTTTAATGCAGAAGACTTTGTTTTCAGCACAAGAGGGATCTATTTAGGGGAGAAAAGGATCAGCAAGAAGGAGGAAGAGAGATGGGAAAACAGTGAGGGGAGAGTAAGAACAAAGTACTATGACATTATTTGCCACAAATGAAATCCATTATTGTGTAGGCTATCCTAAAAAAAATAAGATAAAGGGACTGGAGAGAAGGCTCAGTGGTTAAGAACACTGACTGTTCTTGCAGAAGACCCGGGTTCAAATCCCAGCACCCACATTTTTTTTCTAACAACTGTCTGTAACTCCAGTTCCAGGGGATCTGATAGCCTCTTCTATCCTCCACGGGCATTGCACGACATGGGTGCACTTACCTATATGCAGGCAATACACGCATACATGTAAAATAATAAATAAAAACATTTTAAAAATAAATAAATAAGATAAAATAATGCAGAAGAAAAAAATGACTATGTTTCAAACAGTCCAACAAAGTTCACAGACATAGGACAAGATGACCTATCATTCTCAAGTGTCTTGTCATGTACCTTGGCCATCATTTACTAGGCATTTACTGTGTGCTTGCTATCACTATATGTGTTATTTAATTCTCTGAAAAATCCTAGGAGGCAGGTATATAATCATGCTGTTTTCACAGACTAGGAAGCTAAAGACCCCAAAAGGTAATTTGTCCAAGCTCACAAAGACGGTAAGTGATGGAGTTGACTTTCAGATGTAGGTGGGCCTAAATTAAGAGCCAGAGTTCTCACTGCCTCTCTCAACTTACAATTCAGCAATTCAGTCAGCATGTTTGCTTTACCTTTCCCATGGAAATGCCTCAGCCTGAACTCTTTTTTGTCTTTTGTTTTTACTTTAGAGATAGAATCTCATTATGTAGCCCAGGTTTCCTTTGAACTTGCTATATATCCCAGGATGGCCTCAAACTGGTCCGTCTCCTGCCTCAGCTAGCTCTAACTCTCCCATCCAAGCACTAACGAGGCCAAATCCTGCTTAGCTTCCAAGATCAAATGAGATCAGGAGTACTCAGGGTAGTATAACCATGGACAGTCTCTTTTTTTTTTTTTTTTTTTTTTGGTTTTTTTTTTTTAAACAGGGTTTCCCTGTAGCCCCTGCTGACCTGGAACTCACTATGTAGACCAGGCTGGCCTCGAACTCACAGAGATCTGCCTGCCTCTGCCTCCCAAGTGCTGGGACTAAAGGCATGTGCCATCATGCCCGGCCAGTACTAACTCTTAACAGGTCAGAACAAATAGGAAAGCATCCATAAAAACTACTACACATTTATGCTTGCAATTAGCAATAAGCAAATACCAAGAGTGAATATTCAGTGCTAAATTACTGTAAAATAATTATAAACTTTCACCTAAAGAGAACATTTAGGATTTTAAAAGGGAATCACTTAGCAACAAGAGGAATGTATGTGTGCATATCTGTATGTATGTTTTGTGTGCTATAGAGGTTAATACAGATGCCGGGCACATGCCTTTAATCCTAGCACTCAGGAGGCAGAGGCACGAGGATCTCTGTGAGTTCATGGACAGCCTGGTCTATATAGTGAGTTCCAGGCCAGCTGGGGCTACAGGGAGACTCTGTCTCAAAAAGACTAAAAACAAAAGGTTAATACAGACATACATTGAGGGAAGTCAAAAGTGCACAAAATATTAAAATTTTAATAAATATAACAATCTATCAACATCCATATTGGAATGTCTTTTTCGTTGTTTTGTTTTTTGAGACAGGATCTTCCTGCAGCCACAGCTGGCCTGGAACTATGTAGACTAGGCTGGCCTCAACCTCCCAGAGATCCACCTGCCTCTGCCTCCCTTGTGCTGAAATTAAAGGCATATGACACCATATCCGGCTCTGGAATGTCATATTTTATCTATATTGGCAATACAATTGGGTAATGGAGTCATTTAAAGCACATAATAGCCAGAGCAAACACAAAATCAAGACTGTTTTAGCAAGACTCAATGCTCACCAGTGCCCTTCAGGGTATTTTAACTTTCTGACATTATGATATAATGTTGTCATCTGCAAATGCAATGGGCCAGATCCATAGATATCCTAGGACACACGTGGTCCATGCTTCAAGGTAGACAGACATGTCTGAATTAGATCCTTTTTTATTAGTGTGTATTGGGACATCCAGAATAATCCAATGTCCAGAAAAATGCTGCCATTTACCTGCTGAGCGGTCTCAATTCTTTCTTTTTCCATGCCTAAGGAAGAGAAGCCCTTCAAAAGAATGTCTTCTGTAGATTCAGGCACTATTGAAGTCAGCTCAATGGGCAGTGACTGGGATGATAAGCTGCATAAGTCTTCAATTGGGAGCTTGAAAAAGAGAGCAGTAAGATATTTAACTTGAAAATCCTCTTAAGTCAACTCAACTGAGTTTCCATCTTTGTTGTTTTTGAAAGAGAAAGGATTATTTCCATTAAATCTTCTGAGACTAGTTAATGCCATATTAATACTAACATTTTTCACTAAGTTCTCTCCTTGCTAAACACTACTCTGAAGAGGTAAACAGGACAAGTGTCCCCCACAGTAGTAAGGTATGATTGTTGAATCAATTTTCTAGTAGTAGGGGTGAGTCTATGTGAAGCCACACACATTTTCTCACTTGAACTCTGTGAACTACCACTAGACAAAGGAAAACTGCTGCTGAAAGTAACTTGCTTTCTCCAGGACCTAATGCAAAAACCTGACCAACCAGCAGAATTAACAAATCACACTCAAACTTAAATCAACAAACTCTGCCTCCACCTCCTATTTCTACCTACCAGCACACCTAACCTATACTGACAGTTCCTATTTTTTAATTTAGCAAGAGAATAAAATAGGAAGAATCTCAGAGTTTGCCATCAGTCTTCTAAGAGCCCCCAGAAAAGGTCTCATTTTGACCAGTACTTTCTCATTCTTAACTGCTAAAGATACTTTAGTCCAGGTATTAATTTACCTGAAGTCCTACACCAAACATGCTGTTTTTAGACCTAAAAGAAATGGGAAGCAGATAGCAGGGGAAGCAAAAGGGCCTTTGTTGTGGTTCAATTCCAAGTTTCCAGTCCTTAGCTTATGGCATTTAAGGTCCTCCAATATAAGACATGACTCAAGGCCTTAGGAAATTGCTTTCTATTTTTCTAAATATAGATCTTACCCCTGAAGACAGTGTTTTCTCTTTAAACTCAAATAAGCTAGATGCAAAATATACCGCTACTAACTTAGAAGCAAGATTCCTTAATAGTGGGAATTTTTTTGCATATGGTTCAAGTGGGGCTATACTTATAGCATAGTAAATATACTACAGTGCAGCCTTGTTTAAAGTCTGGTCTTGCTAACTTACAAGCTGTGTGAGATTGGGGAAATTACATAATGTCTCTAATCCTCAATTTCTTCTTCTATCAGACATAGATCTAGTATTGGTATCATAAGACTACTCTGAAGAGAAAAGAAGCAAGCACTGGCTTCTTGAAAGGAGTGCTAGCAAACTAGTCAGTCAGTGATCAAGAAGGCCCTTGTCTGATTTCTCCCCACAAATGAGGCAGACTTAAGAGCCAGGAGGGTCCTAGGTTTATGTAAATATATCTTACTAGGGCATCACAATTCATATAAACTTCCTGGAAAGCAATATAAGCCCTGTGGATAAAAGAGCTCAGGCCAGCCAGAATTAAGTTTCTCCAACTCAGTGAAATCTATCTTGAGTCTAAAGTGCACCAGCAATCTGGTGAGCGTTGATGCATTAAGCTATGGGTATAACGATAAGTCAGTAAGAGTTGGTTTTAGGGGCTGAAGAGGTGGCTCAGGGGTAAGAGCATTTGCTGTTCTTCCAGAATTAGAGTTCAATTCCCAGCACCCTCTTCCAGACTTCAAAGGCACTACACACAAACCAATAAACATATTGGCAATCAAAATATTTATACAATTAAAAATAAATAAATCATTAAAAAAGAGTTGATTTAATATTATGTTCACTTAGAATAATAGGTTCTCCCCTACGGCCTGTGACACTATATAGGTTAACCAGACTCCAGTGGAACCACACAGAAGGGCATTTGGGAAACAAATTTGACTCAATAGGCCTTCATATATATAGGAGTACATGAAATTGGGCAGGGAGGTAGTAAGGGGGTGTGCAGGACAGTTTTAATTGTCAACTTGACACACCTGGGTAGACAGGGCCTCAGTTGGTGAATTATCTCCATTGGACTGGCCTGTGGTCATGTCTGTGAGGCATCTTCTTGATTTTTGAGTGATGTGGGAAGGCCCAGTCCACTGTGAGTAGTACAACTCCTGGGCAGGTGGTCCTGTACTATATAAGAAAGCAGGTTGTGCATAGGCCAGGGGAGCAAGCCAATAAGCAGCATTCCTTCATGGCCTGTGCTTCAGCTCCTGCCTCCAGGCTCCTTCCCTTGAGTTCCTGCCTTGGGCTCCCTCAGAGAAGAACTGTGACCCAGGAAATGTAAAATAAAATAAACCCTTTCCTCCCCAAGTTGGTATCGGTCAAAGTATTTTGTCACGGCAATTTGAGGCAAACTAGAACAGGGGGGTCTAGATAGGGGAGGGAGTCTAAATATGATAAAAATGCATTGTATAGAATTCACACAAAAAAAATCAAAAAGTTAAAAAGTAAAGGTTAAAAAAAATTAAAGAAAAAATAATTTTAAAGAAAAAAGCAAAGTGTCACCAACAGCTCTGTGCTGCCACTAGGGGTTCTGAAAGACAGAGTTATACTGAGATAAGCAGCATCTACAACTGCCATGTGAAAACACCCTGTCTCCTTGAGGAGGGGATGGAATCTATGGGAGACAACCTGTGAATAGAGCACTTAGTGGAAGACCTGCCACATAGTAAGCTCAATAAGTTTGAGCTCCTGACATTAGCCATAGTATTTTGTATTATTCCTGTTACTAGCAGCAATAGCAATATTCTTTATTATTCCTATTAGTGGCAACAGAGTAAAAGTATTGCTCTGAGCCTAATCTAGACTGCTTCTTGGAAAAAGAATAGCAACTAAGCTATCTTTACCATATTGTATTAGTGGTAAAATTTAGTTTTGTAACAATAGATTACGGTGAAATTTAGCACCGTTAGGTAAGCTCTATAGGGGAAGAGGCTCGGATCTAAAAACATACCAGTAAGTACATGGGGACCACACTAGGATGAAGAAAGCTGAAAAGCATGTTGTTTACACCCTAGCAAACAAAAGCCAAATAATCTACAAAAGCATTTAGTATTCTTTTTAAATTTTTATTACATTTATTTAATATTTGTATGTGTGCTCATACATGCCACAGCGCATAGGTCAGAGGACAACTTGAGGGACTCAGATCTCGCCTTACATCATGTGGGTCCCAGAGATTGAACTCAGGTGGTCAGACTTGGCAGCAAGCACCTTTACCCACTGAGCCATCTTGACAGTGAGCATAAATATTCATAAGTCCACTGGAGTTCAGGTTGCAGGAATACCCATGCAAATTAAAAGGGGGAGAGAGATGGTCATTTCCAGGGAGAGTCAGGATACAAATACTGACTCACATATGTAAAATCAGAGGATTTATAAAAAGAAAACATGTGCCATGCAAGTAGGTAAAAAGAAATTCCTAAAAAACTTTTTTTTTCACTAACTGCTAAGTAGAAGCATCTGGAAGCCAATGGCTTAACGGGGGAGTTCACACCATTCACATGGCGCTCCACTGGACAGTCTTGAGAAGAGAATGTGATACAGACTTGGGAGAGAGGAATAGTTGCTACTACATGGGAAAGCAGGGCACAAAGCCCCACCTAGACCTTCTCCCCACTGTGGAACAAAAGTCTTAAGCCACTGTAGAGGGGAATGGGCACGCCTTTAATCCCAGCATTTGGGAGGCAGAGGCAGGTGGATCTGTGAGTTCGAGGCCAGCCTGGTTTACATAATGAGTTCCAGGCCAACTGGGGCTACAGCAAGATCCTGTCTCAAAAAGACTAAAAAAAAAAAAAAAAAAAAAGTTAAAAAGAAGAACTTGCTTTCTAATAGTATAAGAGAAAAGTATCCCTTTGGGTATATTTGCCCCACTACCTTCTTTTCACAAAGTATCTGGAATAGAGTGACAAATCACAAGTGGTGGATGGTGTTCCAGCCTCCTGGTTCTGACTTCTTCTGAGGAAGAGGTGACTCAGTCAACATCTCCACTCACTCACTGCTCTGGCTTCAGATAAACAGACAAATACCACCAGCCAGGCAGGAGCGCAGACCCAGCTGGCAGTGCTTCAAGCTACCGTGCAGCTTACGCACAGGGGACATGAACATACTAAATAGTAACAATAAACTACCCAGCACTACCTCACCAGCTTAGCAGGTCCAGAAAAAGACAAACATACCTTTTTCCCCCAAGCCTTATTTCTTGCAAAATTCTGGATTGGAGAAAATGACTTTTATAATCAATATGATCAATTCATTCCCTTACTGAAAAGTTTACAACACTTTCTTTTTTTGGTCTTTTTGAGACAGGGTCTCCCTGTAGCCCCAGCTGTCCTGGAAAACACTATGTATACAAGGCTGGCCTCCGTCTACCTCCCAAGTGCTGGGACTAAAGGTGTGTACCACCACACCCAGCATACAACACACATTTAGAGCAAATCACTGAAGACATACAGATGGAGTTTCAGAACGTTCCTCAAGATACCAAACATCTTTTTTCTTCTCTTTGGTCTAAGTGACACCTATACTTGCTCAGGATTTTAATCTATTCTTTAAAACATTTATCATTTGAAAGAAATCACATGAATAATGTAACATTATCAAGCTTGCATGTGCATTTACATATATGACTGCCTTTCATTTTCACAACTCCCCATGAGAGAAGCCCCTATTTAATAAAGAAAACAGAGACATACAGAAGCTAATTACCATGTAGGAAGTCACACACCTACAAGAAAACAACAGTCCTGACAACAGTAAATTTCAGATTAAATTATTTTAGCATTTTAACAAAAACTACTTAGTTCAGCAAAAAGGAAAAGGTCCACACTGCTGTAAGAAAATTTTCCCTGACAAAAAAGAAGCTGGTATACTGCAAACTTCTGTATACCTAATGCAAATACACACACACACACACACACACACACACACACACACACACATTTTTCTGGAGGAAAGAAAAGGTGCAACTTTTCAAGCTAAAGAATGCTTTTTTATATAGGTGAGAACACTATTCTCTAAAGAAGTTAACAGCTTTATGATGTTTACTGAGTCTGCTGAATTGCAGCTAGTGTATTAATCTTCCCAATTCCAGTAATTCAGGAAATAATTCATTTCATGAAAAGATGAACCTCTACAGAAAAGTCTTTGCAAACATACTGGTTGGACAAAATGAACATTGAGGCATACTTGTTTCAACACCAATATTAAAAGAATGGTAAGAGAAAATGAATCCCAAAGTCATTCCATCACATATAAAACACTCGTAAAGGAAATGAGAGCTGAAGCAGCTGTGAGAGCATTGCCCCCAAAGATGCCAGAGCTGTTGTGAACAGGCTCTATCCTAATACTGAGGCCGCTTGTACCAGAAGACCCTCATTGGATACTTGGACTAACTAGGCACATCCTCTATCCATGACCTTGCAGGCTTTCTCTCCAGCTGGCTTCCTGTTTTCCATTATCACTCACTCTAGACTGTCATTTTCTTTAAAAGGCCCTCCTTTTCTTTCAAAGGCCTCTCCTTCAAAGGCACACCTCATCCATTCTGGTCACACCATGCTATTCAATTTTTCTTATATAATGAATGGATCACTGTACCGTCTAATTTTTTTCATTATATGCTCATGATCACCATAATTATGTCAGCTCCCAAAGGCTGAGAATTTCATCTTTCCTATCTATCTTACTATCACTAATTCCTACCTAATATAGGCATGTGATATATAAAAAACCATATGCAACTAATGGTAGGTAGCATTGCATAAATATGGAATAAAAATAGTAAGATTCTTTACTTCACTCCAAACCCCCTCCCTGTTCAGTAAGTACAAGGTTTATAACCCATGGAAATAAAAACAAATTTTTTGCAGCATATGTCTCACTCCCCTAGTACTGTGAAGTCTAGGCACCCTGATTCAGGAAGAGTCCAAACCAATTATAAACAGACTGAGAAATACATAAATCAATTCCCGGGCTGAGGATGTAGCATGGCAGGACTCTGGGCTGAATACCCATCAACACACACCTATAATCCAGAACATAAAAACATAACCAGACCAAAGAAATTTTCCCTTGCTTCCTGGTTTAGTTAGATATACTTCCTGCACAACATCCTAGAGGTGGCCAGGGAAACTCATGGAAAAATACCTGTTTTTATGGGGTTTTTTTTTGGGGGGGGGGGGGCTTTTTGAGACAGGGTCTCCCTGTAGCCCCAGCTAGCCTGGAACCAGCTGGACCAGGCTGGCCTCGAACTCCGAGATCCACCTGTCTCTGCCTCCCCAGTGTTGGGATTAAAGGCGTGAGCCACCACGCCAAGCTTGTAAAAAGAACTTTCAAATCATACCTCTAAGGTATGAGGTCAACGGTGAAAACTCTAAACTCAATCTGCATTTGCACATGATTCCAAATTCTCTAAAAAATAATGCTTCCAATGTCACAAGTAACCACCACTGCTAATAAAATAACCCCAAATCTGGCCCTCAAAACTAGTAAAGAAAAATCTGTCAAACGTCTAATAAGTCGAAAAAACGTACTTCTTACCATTATAACTAATTAAATGGAATCACTCAAAGAGCAATATGCATACTATCACAATGGGAAACAGAGTAAAAAAATATTAACACTGGAACTTTTCAAAAGTTAGTATTACTTAGAGCTGGGTGTGGTGGCGCACGCCTTCAGTCCCAGCACTTGGAAGGCAGAGGCAGGTGGGTATCTGTGAGATAGAGGCCAGTCTGGTCTACTTAGTGAGTTCCAGGTCAGCTGGGCTACAGGGAAATCCTGTACTAATTCAACTTTCAAAAACAATCCATCTTGAGTGCTTTCCTATGGGTTAAATAAATCTGATCTCCCATAACCTACACCAAGAGTTCATAGCCGGGCATGTAATGAATGAAACTGTCACTGGAACCAGTTCTGCGCCCCTCGGTCTCCCAGAGATCAGGGAGGCCCGGGTGCTCATGAGGGCTCGAGAGCCTGGCTTGGCGCCTGTCCTGCAAGACGGTAGGGTCCATGCCACGGCTGACACCCGGGCACCTGCAGCAGGCAGCCGGGGACCCCACGCCGCTGGGGGTAGAGCTGGCCTCCGGTGGCCGTGTCCGCAGCCCTCTCCGGCCCTGCGAAGCTGGCTGCCGGGGACACGCTGGGCCCCTGCCCCCCGGATCCACCACGGTGGCCGGGGAGGCGAGGACAGAACCCGGGCAGAGGCGGGGGCCGGGGTGGCTCCCGGGCCTTCGGAGCCCTTCGTCTCACCTCGGCGGGCACCGGCAGGTCCTCCACCGCCGCCTTCAGCTCCAGCACAGAGTCGGTCTGCCGGTCTGTCAGCGGCGCCATCGAGTCGGCTCTCCGATCCCATAGGGCCAGCTTCTCGCGAGCGTCCCGCTCGGCCGTCGCCTCCGGCTGTAGCAGCAGCGCCGCCTCCGCCATCCCCGCCGCGCCCGGCCCCTCAGCAGCGCCGAGCGGAGGGGACCCAGTCAGACCCGGCCAGCAACTTCCGGGAGAACCAGGCTTCCAGCACCGCAGCCGCGCCGGGGCGGGCCGAATGCCCTGACCCCGGAAACGCTTCCCAGGCGTGGGGCGGAACCCAGGCCACAACAGACGTGGCTTTCAGCGGGTGACAGGTATTTCCGGTTGGGGTGTGGAAGATGATCTTATTGGAGACAGGCGTTGGTGGAAATGGAATTTCCCCTACCGGAAGTACCTTCCTCAACATCAATAACTTTATTATGTGGTGTTCAGGTTTTTTGACAAGTGTGTTATCACTCAAAGATGAGGAACTTCATAAACTCCAGGGATCTACGTTGACAGCTTCCGCGGCTTAGAAACCAAGAGCACAGACTTTTCAAACGTTCCATTTCCGTGCTAGAAAACTACTTTGTGGAATCACAAAACAAATTCAAAGACCTATATATCGGGTATCATTAATATTATCAAATAATTGGAAACAACCTGAACGTCCAACATTGAAGAACTGAATCAGTAATTCGTGATCCAGACATGCAACTGGAAAACTATTCTGCCATTTAAATCGTGTTAAACATTTAAGCAACTAAACAAATAATGATATTGTTAGATCAAACCTACATAATAAAATAAATACCATGGAATCTATACTGATATAAATACATTGAAGAAATGAAGAAAGAACAACTTTGTACCTTACAGAAGAATTCCTAACAATAAATGCAGGGAAATAAAGGAAATTTAAAATCATCATTAAGACACCACAAGTAATCATTGAAGCAGGCAAGACAGAGGATAGATACTGAAATGAGTTGGCAAAAGTTCCAGAAGAAATGGAAATTTACATAAGCCCAGATAATTTCCCTAAGGTATTTACTAATAACAAGGGGGAAGTCAGGCATGGTGATACATACAAGAAAGCCCAGAACTTGGGAGGCTGAGATGGCAGGATTGCCACATGTTCGTGGCTACATAGCAAGAGCTTGTCTCAAGATGCTGGAGAGATAGCTCAGTAAACACCAGCTGCTCTTGCAAAGGAGGTGGGTTCAGTTCCCAGCACCCACATGATGGCTCACAACCATCAGGAACTCCAGTTCCAAGGGATCCGACACCTTCTAGCCTCCATAGGCAGTTCACAAATGTAGTGCATTTTCATAAATGCAGGCAAAATACTCATAGACATAACATTTAAATTTTTTTTAAAAGCTATCTTTTCCCAAAAAACTGGGGGAGGAGTGGGGCCAGAATAACTTCCAGGGCAGATACCACTTTAACTATGTGATCTAACTCAACACCATCATGAAATTCCTGACTTGATGGATTGAGGGCATGATATCCCTTCTGTGGTATTCATAACAAAAATACAAACTTCATTCTGGTCGTGAGAGAAATGTTGGACAAATAGAAGGACATGCTACAGAACACTGAGCAATATTCTCCAAAATTGTCAGGTCTTGGGATGGATATGGTGACTCAAACCTTTGATCTCAGCACTTGGGAGGCAAAGGCAGCCTGATCTACATAGCACGTTCCAGGCTAGCTGGGGCTACAGGGAGACCCCGTCTCAAATTTAAAAATGAAAAATAAAGATAAATTTTTAAAAACAAAAATGTCAAGGTCTTTTTAAAAGATGAGAAAAGACCGAGGAACTGTTATATGTTGGAGACTGAGGAGGCATGACAGCCCAATGCAATGTGAGATATTGATTGGTCCCTGAAACAGAAAAAGGAACATTATGGTGAAGCTACAGAAAAAAATATAGAAATTCAAATAAAGTCTATAGACAATGGCATTCGACTAGTGTTAATTTTCTGGCTTTTGTTATTGTATGTGGCCAGGTAAGATGATGACATTGTGGGAAGTTGGACAGGCAATACACCTGAACTCTTGGTACAACTTTATAATTTTTCTGAACTCTACAAGGGAACTGGGTGTGATGGCTCATGTTTGTAATCTTAGCACTAGGGAGGCTGAGTCGGGAGAATTTCTTCAAGTTCAAGGCTAGTCTGAACTAGAGAGTGTGTCTCCAAAAAGGAAATGTCCCAAAATGAAAATGTTATCTATCTGGAGAAAATGATTGTGACATAACAAAAAATAAAATGGCATATGATCCTATTGAGCAAATGAAACATTGCCAAGACATTGTTGGATCTTGAGATTATTTATGCTTTTTGTTTCTCTTTTTAATTTTTTTAATTAAAAAAAAATCTATGTGTATGAATGTTTTGCCTGCATGTATGTAAGTGCAATCATGTCATGCAATGCCCATGGAGGCCAAAAGAGGGTGTCAAATCCCCTGGAATTACAGACAATTGCCATGTGGGTGCTGAACCTGGATCCTCTGCAAGAACAGCCAGTACTCTTAACCACTAAGTCATCTCTGCAGCCTTTCTATTTTTTTCCAAATGATCCCTTGCAATTAAGACTAAGTGTGTTAGCCTTCCATTGATGTAATTTATACCAGAGATAATCAACTTATAGAGAGAATGCCAAGTTACTCTTTCAACAACCCAGTTTCAGAGCACTCTTCTCCATCATACAAATCCACCACTATTTCCTAAAGAAATGCATATTGTAGATACATACAGACAGAAATGTGGCTTTATTTGTCTAAACACCTAAAACTCATGTTCTCTTCCTCTGCCTGACTGATCTCTAGGTTCACAAATATCAGAAATAAAATTTGATCTTGTTAAATTCTGTGAAGAGTTCTTTGCCAAACATTATCCTTCAAGAGCATCTTCTCTCCTGATGTGTTTCTATATCAGATTTTCCTGAAGCAATGATTCATCTACGTTTGTATTTATATTCTTTATAATTCCAGGAAATATCTTTACCAACTGGTGGGTGGTTCATGAAGCTAAAGGAATACAACACAGTTCATGACAGAAAAAAAATCTGCCCAAGACTGGCTGGGGTATAATCAGGAGGCGTGAGGTCACTTGAGAGGAGAGGAAGGTAAATCTTCAGCACAATCATGCCTGGTCTCTTCCTGAACTGAAGAACTGGGGGAGCCAACTGAAGGCAGCAGAGGGGAAGTTCAGCAGCTACCTGCTGGCTCGTCAGAGAGAGAAGGGGAGACGAAGCAAAGAACAGCAAGTTTATGGGTGTTTTTATTTTATAGAATGCCAATATAAACACTTCAACAACATGCTGTGATGATTATTCTTGATTGCCAACCTGACTCAATTGAGAGACACTTAGAGGATTAGTGAAACTCATCTTAGGTTGTCTCTATGAGGACATGTCCAGAAACAATGAGCTCATGAAAGTTCTGACCAAATCAATAGACTAATCCCTAGATGGATTCATAATATGATAGCACTATTGGGAGGTAATAAAAGTATGAGGCGAGATCTCTGAAGAAAGTGGACTTCCATGGAGGGTCCTTATGGGCTGTATCCTGTCCCTTCCCCATTCTTCTCTGCTTCCAGGCCACCATGATATGATTTTTCCTGGCCCTGCCCTCCATGCCAGCCTGTACTGAGCCCTCTGAAACTATTAGCTACAGTAAATCCTTCTTTCCTTAGATTGTTTCTGTCAGATATTTTGGTTACAGTGACACAAAAGCCTGACTAAGACATATGTTGTTCAGACACCAAAAAGTATGATGTAAAGCACCCTGAATCTGGCTTGACTCTAGTACTTTTTCTGACTTCCTTTTCAATGCCAGCATCTTGAGGATGCTAGGCAAGTGCTCTACCACTGAAACACATCCCAACCCCACTTCACTTTCTGTATGGAGAATTACTGTCTGGTCAACCCCCCCACCAAAAATACAATTTCCTATAATGGATTCACCTCTGTACACTACATTACAAGTCAAAATTTTTCCTGTTTCTGGGTGTTAATTGGAGTACTCCCTGAAGCATGGATAACATGAGGAATGCAATTGCAGTTCCAACCTCCTAATAAATTATTGCAGTATATTTAATTACATATTGGTAATTGTTCCCTTAAAAATCATTAAAATGGACATAAGCACACACTGCATATATCCATTAAATGGTACACATATGTATTCATACTGAAGTGTGTGTGTGTGTGTGTGTGTGAGAGAGAGAGAGAGAGAGAGAGAGAGAGAGAGAGAGAGAGAGACTGCCATAGGTTACAGAGAAAAAGGAAAGTCAGAGAAGTCTCATTCCCAAAGGTTAAGTTCCCTGTTAAAAAGAGAAAGCAAGAAGACAGAGATGACAGGAAATTAAAACAACAAAATTAAAACATAAAAGGTCCCCATATCATCAGAATCTATCTTGACTATAAGATCTTATTCAGATTTCACAAATGTCTCGTTTTATTAGTTTAATTTTACATAATAGATTTCATTTTGACATTTTCATATGTGTATATCATGTATTTTGATCATATTCACCCTGGTACCCTCTGTTTTTACCCTCTTTTTTTAATTTAAAAAAATTTCTGGGGCTGGAGAGATTGCTCAGTGGTTAAGAACACTGGTTATTCTTGCAGAAGACCCGGATTTGAATCCCAGAACCCACATGGCAGCTAACAACTGTCCATAACTCCAGACCTAGGGGATCCAACAGCCTCTTCTGCCCTCCACGGGCATTGCGTGACACAGGTGCACTTACCTACATGCAGGCAATACATGCATACACATAAAAATAAATTTTAATTTCATGTATATCACTGTTGTCTGCATCTGAGTGCACCCATGCATGCGATGCCCAGAGAGGCCAGAAGAGGGCATCAGATATCAGAGTCCCCTGGATTTGGAGGTAGGGATGGTTGTTAGCCATTGTGGAAGAAGGGATGGAAGTAACGTAAGACTCAGGGGAAGGAAGTGTGGGGTGTGGAACACTGACTTTCCAGCATAACACGGCCATTGTACTTTTAAACTCACAGCACAATTACCTGTACAAGATCTGCAAAGATTGGGTCCACCAACATACTATTGTAGAGGGAGGAAGATTTCACAAGGCCACACTCCTCCCTGGTGGTTTATAAAGATGTAAAAGTAGAAGAGGGAGCCAGGTGTGGTGGCGCACGCCTTTAATCCCTGCACTTGGGAGGCAGAGGCAGGCAGATCTTTGTGAGTTCAAGGCCAGCCTGGTCTACATAGTGAGTTCCAGGACAGCTGGGGCTAGAGGGAGACCCTGTCCCAAAAAGAGGAAAAAAAAAAAATGTAGGAGAGGGGCCAGTTGAGAAAAAGATTAGTGGGAGGGATTGGGAGACAAAAGATAACAAAGGACTGGAGACATGGCTTAGTGGTTAAGAGCACTGGCTGCTCTTACAGAGGACCTGGGTTCAATTCCCAGAACCTACATGATGGGTCCACCAGTGAATAAGACTGTTGATGACAATTCTCCCCCATCAGTCTGCATAGCACTTTGGCACAATGAGGGCTAGCCAGCAGGGAGAAAGCTTCCAGCACGATTCCAGATTGTATTCTCTGTGTCCTATGATCAGAGTACATGGTGATTTCACCACTAGGGTACTACTGCCTACTTCTGGTGGGCAGCCAACAGCAATGACAATTTTCTGTCTTGTTTTGGGATGTCAAGGGCCTCCCTGGCTAACAAGTAGTAGGCAAGTAACTTATCCTGGCACTAGGATGTTCACTTAATAGCCTATGCTTTCTGGGAGCAGCTTTATCCACCCACACAGGGTGCCTCCATTCAAAATCTTTTTAAAATTAACTTACCAACTACCAGATTTCCTTGTGACTTTTTCACACATGGCTAAGTTTGGTTGACCCTACTCTGTACCCCACCCTCTCCTCCACCTCTCCCTGGCCCTCTCCCTGCTTAGACCTTTCCAACCCATATTCTCCTTTTCATATTTGTATCACATGCATTCTACTCCTAACACACACCCTGAAAACTTCTTTTATCTCCCTCTCAGGGTCTCCTTTCTAGTTTTCTGGAATCTACACATACTCCCACATAAAGGCACATATATAAAAATTAGAAGCACGGCCAAATATGGTGGCACACACTTTTAATCCCAGTACCCGAGAGGCAGAGGAAGAGGCAGGTGGGTTTCTGTGAGTTTGAGGCCAGCCTGATTTACATAGCATTCCTCCATGGTCTGTGCTTCAGTTCCTGCCCTGGCTTCCCTCAAGGATGAACTGTGATCAGGATGTGTTTACTTCCCAAGTTGGTTTGGTCAGTGTTTTTTTCACAGCAATGGAAGTGAACTAGAGAGCACTAAGGAGGAGCAGCACCAGGCCTCGGGTCTCTTTTGATGATTTCTTCCACATTTGCTGGTTGTCATGTGGATTCAGACTTGCAAGGTGCCAGGACTCAGCGTATGCAGTCTTTACCCATCCTTGCTTCAGTGCTGTTAAGAGTTTAAATATAGGCTGGGCGTGGTAGTGCATGCCTTTAATCCCAGGCGGATCTCTGTGAGGTCGAGGCCAGCCTGGTCTACACAGTGAGTTCTGGGTCAGCTGGAGCTACAGGGAGACCCTGTCTCAAAAAGACCAAAAAAAAAAGAATTTAAACACGTTAAAGAGCCAGACTCCAGAGCCCTGCACCAGAGTGCACCCTGATCCCTGTCATATGCCAATGCAGGCAAGTTAAACAGACCTGTAAGATGTGCCTGAGAATAAACTGAGGTAATGCATGTGAGGACCTTCAAACCTAAGTGGCAGCTACTGAAGAATGGAGAGGAGGGAAAGGAGGGGGAAGCAAGAAGGACATTCCAAGTGGTGGAGAGTTGAATCCCTCCGGAATTCTCTAGGCTGATCTTCCAACAGTTCCTAGGAAGCCCCGCTGTAGAAAACCAGAGCCACTCTGGCTGAGCACTGACCCCAGACAGTCCCCCTAGCTATTTCTCCATGCTACACCCCAAGGATTCAGTCCCCCACAGCCAAAAGTCTCTGTAACTGAGGTTCTCCAGGAGGGCCAACTACAGACCCAGGCTCAGCTGAACTGAGAAACACTGGGGTGACTCTGAGGACCCCGCTCTCCAAGGCCAGTACAGAAACACCACTATGGGCCAGAGGCAGCCAACTCTGGGAGCCAGCAACAGTCATGGAGGTCTCTTCCTGCTTCCCTCCAGGACCAGGAACACCAAGGCATCTTCCTAGCAATTTTGACAGTCATCTGGCACAAGTAACGTCAGGGTTTATTCAGAGACAAAAAACACAAGCCAGTGCCTGGTGTGTTTCTAAGTGAGGGCTCTGAGGGTCTTTTAAGGATAGACCTTAGAGTGAAAAAGAGCACACAAAAACCACGGTATCAAGCCCTTTCATTCCGCAGATGAACTGAGACCTACAGAGGAGCACATCCAGCCTCCTGCAGTAGGTGGTTAATGGTCAAAGAAAGTCAGGATGACATTTCAGATATTCTGGCTGTGGCTGATGCTCTTTGTACTACCACACGGTTTCTCCTAGTTGAGTGATGTACAAAGTCCCTTAGAAAACTTCACACTTCAGCCAGGCATGGTGGTGCATGCCTTTAATGCCAGCACTCAGGAAGCAGAGGAAGGTGGATCTCTGTGAGTTCAAGGCCAGCCTGGTCTACATAGGGAGTTTCAGGCCAGCTGGGGCTACAGAGAGACCCTGTATCAAAAAGACAAAAAAAACAAAAAAAAAAAACAACAAAAAAAAACAAACAAAAACCCCAACTTAAATAAATAATTATGGAATGGAATGGAAACCAAGCAAAGCTATTGAGAAAAGGTCCCCAAGTCAGCAAAAGTGGTATGTGTACACACACACACACACAGTTGGGGAATCAAACCCAGGACTTGTAACTTACTAGGGCAAGTTTTCTACCACTGAGCTCCATCGCCAGCTCCCAATATGAGCTCTTTATGTGTGTATGGGTGGGGAGGGTTGGTCTTTTTGAGATAGGGTCTTCTCCCCACCTTCCCTTCCACCTGTCTCTGCCTCCCAAGTGCTGAGATTAGAGGTGTGCACCACCATACCCAACCCCGACATGCGTTTGAGACAGGCATCATCTTCTGCTCTTCCTCATGCTTCCAGAGCCCTGTGATTTGGTGTAGGACTTAGATCCTGCTGTTCGTTTAGAGCCTGCTGTGCAGAGAACAAGTTGTCCAGCTGTTGGCCATGTCCTATATTAATCAGCCATTCATTAAACTTGCTCTCATATTTAGAACTGCTTCTTTTGAGTCTACTAAAGATTTTCTGCCAGGTCTGAATCTTGTGTTTGCCTTATCTGTTTTCTGATATGCAGATGGAAGGACCCCCACTCCCCAGGTCTCTGTTGTGTCCCCTTGCATTTCAAAGGGAATTAATACAATTCACAAAGTAGTAAGAGCCAGAAGACACTTGTATGGCTGCTCCTTCTGACACAACCACTGGATTATCCCAATAGTTTGGTACTATTGCAAGGCAGCCCTGGCCATGTAGTCTTCAAGCACTGAGTAATGGGCATGAAAAGGGGCAAAAGCTACTCTCTGGTTCCCACAGAGAGTAAGTGGGCACAAAGGCACCAGAATGTGAAAGCTGCACTCTGCTCTAGATGAGTTAGATACACAATGGTACGTGATGGCGAGAGAGCAGCTACAATGACCTGCCCCACTGAGTACCTAAGTGATCAGCCAATGTCACATTTCCCTTGCCAATTTAATGAAGCCAATGTGTTTAACGGGCACTATCATTCACTGCTCAGAGGCATTTGAGACACCAGAAGGCAGCTGTTCTCCCTGATCCCTATAAGTACCTGGGGCTCATCGTCCCATCTTAGGTCAGAGAATTAAGTCCCCACCCCACTACCCTTTTGCGGGGGCAGTGAAACTGTAAGAAGTGGTAGAGAAATGCAGCCCACCACTGCCACTGGTAGCCTGAGTCCCCCTCTTAAGGAACCCAGCTCCTGCTTCTAGCAGCACCAAGTACTGGGCAGAAGCCTAAGGGAGCCCTGAAGACCACTGCACTGTCATTGCACTGGTGCGAATGTGAGCCTGCCCTGCCAAGCCAGCCTCAGATCAAGTTGACTGGTCTCCACTGAGCTACAGAGTATTCCTCAAAATGAGATGAGGGGAGTCTGACAAGTACTAGTTAATGAATAAGTTGATCTCAGTTACTTCTCCATGTAGAGAGAATGGAGTATCCATAACCACCTTCACAAACCCTGTTTTTCCCCACAGCCCTGGACCCTCTGGAGTTTGCCTTTTGTGGGAAGGACTTCTGAAATGCCTTCTGTAACAAATGGGAATTTTACTTAATGTTGTGACTGAGTTAATCACATATTTTGAGATTACTGAATACCATATATTCAATCTGCCTTTCTACTATGTAATCAGCTTGTTGAAATTTAACTTTAAGAGAACAATGTAAACAGTCTTACCAAGGCCTTGGGCTCCCTATATAATCATCTTTTACAAGCTGAGCTAAACACATAGCTTTAATCTTAAACTATGCTCTCTAGTTCTTCCTCATGACTCTTTCATGCCCCAACTCAGAATAACTTATGTATGGGTATGTTGTGATAATACTGAAACAGCGACATTGAAAACAACAAATTATCCACAGTAAATGTTGTAAACAACATACAGGTTGATATCAACAATAGGTTGGTAACACCTACGGTGGATTTGTATGCTGGGTCACAGCAGTAAGATAAAGCAAACTCCTTCTCTGGCAAAAGATTCTTTAAGACAACATTCCTAATCCCTTTCCCATATTAATGTTTAAATAAATACAGAGAAAGTCCTTTGTTGAGAGGAACAGTTTCTGAAGAAATCAGAACAGAAAAGTTCTGAGAACAGATCCAGCTCAGTCTTGGTTTAAGACTCCAGGAGTTAGTCTTTCTTTTATCAGCCACTGCCATAACTTTAGCCTAAATGTTTCTGGAATAATCACAAGCCATTTTATCATTATATATTACTCTAATTTATTAAATAAATGAAACAAGGTTTATGCCACATATTTCAATAATGTTTAAACAGTGTGAAATATAAAAGCTTTTGGAAAACATACTCTATATATAATGCACACTCTTTATAGCATATGAATAAATATGGAGAACAGGAGCCACTTTTTATATCACAGATCAGCAACACTGAACATCAATAACAAATAGCAAACAAACAAAATTCTCTTCAACTTAGTTACAAAAACTATTGTCTTTACCATACTTAAGCAATATCCAAAAGGTGAGGTGCTGTAGTCAAACCCGTGTCTCCAAGAGCTTTAAGTTGTTTCTGAGTTAGAAACTTTAACAATTGCATTAACTCAAGTTTTTACAAAAAAGGCAGGTTAAGACCCTACTTGACAAGGCACTTAATAAACTGATACCATACTAGTCCCAAAATACTGCATTTCTGTCTTAAAATGTGCTGAAATTGCACGGTGAAACGGAGTTTCTTTCCCTCCAGATACAGACAAGTACATAGTTTGAATGAACTGGTAATACTGACAGTCATTCTTTATATGATCTTCAGAATGGTTCAGTGAGTGGCGTGGTAGCGCAAGCCTTTAATCCCAGCATTCGGGAGGCAGAGGCAACTCTCTGAGTTTAAGGCCAGCCTGGTCTACATAGCAAGTTCCAGGCCAGCTGGGGTTACAAAAGGCAATCCTTTTACCTCAGAAGTGAAAGCCTCTCTATAGTCTATCACTTCAATGGAATGTTCTGATAAGAAGAAAAACATCTCTAACCTGTAGTGCTAGGAGCCAGGCCTGCAGCTCAAGCATCCTCTACTGGGTCTAGGGTGATGTGGACTTTGGTCTTAGTCTTTAAGTCACCAGTACACTTCTCTGTTTAATGCTTCTTAGCTTTTACTTTTAGAAATAAAACCCTGCTTCGCAAAACCCTGGCAAAGAAAATACTAGTAAAGGCAAGGTGAAAATGTATAGGGAAAAAAGCACCCGACCCCCAAGGAAAACCTGCACACCTTCCATCTCATGAAGGAAGGAGCCTTAGGGACTGGCCAGACTGGGAATGTGCCAAGCACTATGGCCTGCTTGGAGCCCCAGTTAGTATGTAATAGGCTCTCAAAGGGCTCACTTGAAGGGACTGAGCTACCCTCTAGAAATAAAATATTCTAGGCTCTTAGAGACATCTTTTCTTAAAACTACAAGAGGATTTATCACAGTATCAAGAAACAAAAAATGGAGGGATATTACACACCTTTTCTCAGAAACTAGACAGACATATACTACAGACATGGGTGGGGTTAGGAAGAGGCTCAGTGTAGAGCAGTTACCCCAAGATTGCAAAGAAAAAAAAAAAGCGAGAGAGAGAGAAAGAGAGAGAGAAAGGAAAGGAGAAAGGGAAGAAAGGAAGGAGGGAGGAAGAATTTTTAAATTTTTATAGATACTAACTAGGAAGTCTCAGATAGGAAAGATTCTAACAATTCAACTTGAACTAAAGTAAAAGAATCTGGAAACATCAACTCTTCAATACATGAGCAACACTGTGCTACAGAAACATTAACGCCTTCACTTGCAGTGTTCTTTCTTCTACAAGGCCTTTGACCAAGGGCTTCCGTCCTCATTATAGGAGAAGCCCTTGGTAATACAACCAAGGGATTATACCTGCAAATACTGTGTAAACATACTTATTCTTCACATGGCCACACCTGCTTTTTCCCTTCACTCAACTGCTATTTCAGTATGGACAATCCCCGTTTTACTAATCTGGAAATAACAAACTTTACTAAAAATCATTGGACAAATGACTGCTACCTGAAACAGATGTCAAGAGGCTTGAAAACACCTCTCACCAACACAGACCCTGAAACTTTCATGTGAAGGTGGCACAAGGCTGTGAACTTAGGTTATTAATGCAGTGTAGAAATCCCCCCACAAAGGTCAAGGCTTCTAAGGCTTAATGTCACTTACTATAAGTGAAAGACTCTGCCAAAATAGTAAATTATACAATATTCCAAAAATCTACTTCCTGCACTGACCAGATCTAGGGTTTCCACACACAAAATTCCTTTTACTGACTAGAAGCCAAAGCTCAAAACAATTCCGGAACAATACCAACCTCCTGGAGGCTCCATCCTCCATGAGCTTTTTAGCAGTCTGATATTCACAGCTGGATGTCAAGAGGCAGCAGGGTTATTCACCCTGAAGAAAACAGCATACAGTTTCTGAATTTCTTGCAAGTCTTCAGCAAGAAATGTGTATTTTGTACATTACCTGGGATGTCAAAGGGCACTTCAATGTAAGGACAGTGAGTGTTGGGTGCTATAGTTTAGGCTCTTAACACTTATAGAATGTGTCCAATGGCAACATAGGTCATCTGAATGAGTTATCTTCACCCATCCCAGAAGCTGTGATGAGCTGTGAGGTGTTAAGCAGCAGAAGTACAGGAATTTCTATTGCAGAAGCTGGCTTTTCAGGATATTCATCTGTAGCCCAGATGGTCACAAGTCCAGTTTCTTCAGTTGCTCATATGTCAAAAAGAACTATGGTTATGGGTTAAGGCTGCCAAGAAAATGTCTTCTTACCAACCCCAGTACATAAAGCAGACTGACAGGTAGCTTTTCTCCTAACAAATAAATATGTTCAGGCAGCTCTATGCCAAGGACATGATTCATGTGAGCAGGTCCAATCTAAGCCCCTCAGGCCATCTCCCCATAAGCTGCCCAAGGTCAGCTCAGAGCATAGAGGACAGAGATGAGATCTGCATACCCCTCAGCCTGGGTCTCTCCAGGAATGACATCCATACTAATTAGCAAAGACTACCAGGCAGAGTACAGTTAGCATGCCCTAGGAAGCTCTCCTCCAGCATTTCCCCATCAGCAAAGTAAGGAAATGATAAAAATCCAACATTCCTGCTTCCTACTTTACTGTCTACTGATCTGCCCCACCAGCCTGCCTCCTGCATTTGTGTAAAGTGCCGATCAGGTGAACACTTGTAGAGCTAAGTGCTATCTAAGTTCAGTGAGCAATCTCTCAATAAGCATGCGCATACACTGTTGGTACCTTCCCCAGGAGAGCTGGAGATGCGTCAGTCCTGTCACTCTGGAATCACAAATACCCTAAACTCCCAGGGTGCAGATTCCAATGAAACGTCATTATTGTTACCTTTTAATACAACTACCTTAATTAAGCTAGGATCTCAGGGATGTCTGCAGAGAGACCTCTGTGTTCATTAGGCAGAAACAGAGTGGTAATAATTTCTTAGAATCAGAGGAACGCAGAAGGTTAAGAACCTACTTCTGAGCTAGGTGTGGTGGTGCACACCTTTAGTCCCAGCACTCAGTGGGCAGAGGTAGGCGCATCTCTGAGAGATGGAGGCCAGTCTGGTCTACATAGTGAGTAGCAGGTCAGCGGGGGCTACAAGGGAGACTCTGCCTCAAACAAACAAACAAACAAACTTACTTCTATATTATCATTTATAAATTTGCTGATTTATACATGCACTTCTTTAGTTACATCTTGTTTTAGATCTGCTACAACAGAAAAGGATACAATGATATTCCAAGGACCGAGCCGTAACCAATTTGGCCAAAAACCTTTATATAGAGCAAAAAAACCTTCATTCTTCCATGTCTATTAAAAAGAAAAAATAAATAAATAAATAAAAGGTTAACTTCCCAATTTCCAAGTATGTCAAACACATTAATAGTAGTCAAATTGGTACGCTTTTTCTTTTCTTTTCTTGGGTGGGGAGACAGGGTCTCCCTGTAGCCCCAGCTGTCCTGGAACTCATTATGTAGACCAGGCTGGCCTTGAACTCACAGAGATCCGCCTGCCTCTGCCTCCCAAGTGCTGGGGACTACAGGCGTGCACCACCATGCCCGTCTAAATTGATATGTTTTTTCATAAAAATTTAAATCCTACAGCTGAGGTATAGATGTACTTCAGTGACAAGTATTTATCTAGCATGCCTAACCTGAGCTCAATCCCCAGTATCATAAAAACTAAAATAAAACAAGGAGTAGGGTGGGGGCAGTGGGCTGGCTCAGCAGGTAAAGGCACTTACTGCCAAGCCTAATAATCAGACTTCAATCCCTGACGCCCACATGGTGGAGAGAAATGATCACACAAGTTGTCCTTTTACCTCCACACGTCATGGTACGTGCAGGCACACACACACACACACACACACACATGAATCAATAAATGAATAATTTAAAAAATGTAAAAAGAGGGGCTGGGAGATGGCTCAGCAGTTAAGAGCACTGACTGCTCTTGCAGAGGACCCAGGTTCAATTCCCAGCACCCACATGGCGGCTACGAACTATCCTTAACTCCAGTTCCAGAGGAATCCGAAGCCCTCCTCTCACCTCCGTGACATTGCATGACACGGGTGCATTCACATACATGCAGGCAATACACGCATACACATAAAATAAAAATAATATTTTTTTTAAAAAAATGTAAAAAGAAAAAAGAAAAAAAAATCTTTTAAAAGGAGGTGGCTGAGAGCCTGCCTTGAGAGAGTAAGACAGATCAACCAGGTCTGCCAGAGCCTAGGCTTGCCAGAGTGGCCTTTCCAACTGCTCTCGGGTTATGGCAGGGATGTCTCCATCCTCCTGCCCAGGATATCACAGCCCATAGTGCTTAAGGTCAGTAGTGCCACTGTGTAACCAGCCATGTGTGGTGTCTATTAGGGCTCATGCCTGCCATAACATGCAACACAGGATCACAGTGCCTGATATAGCTACTGTACTGTTGACAGGGAGATTCAGAAGACAGGGAGATTTAGCCACTGGACTTTGAAATTTCCTGAGACCTGTTCCAATCTAGATGCAAAGGACAAGGAGAAATATCAGGTGCTTGAATGAACATATTCTGGATGCTGCCATTACACATTACAATATTCCTCCAGTTCAAGCCATCAGTTGCTATGCAGAAGGTTAAGCTCTTCTTGATCAAAAATTTTACTGAAAACACTTCATAGTACAGAAAACTGCTGAATATGTTCTGCTTTAATCAAATTATAGGAAAAATGAGAAATCTTTTATGTGTTTACTTAGTAAAATAAAGCAAAATCAAAGTCATTTGGAAGGGTGGTTTAGAGATCATTGCTCTCTGTCTCTCTGTTCCTTAAAGGCTTCTGCACAGGTGGGAGACCAAGGCTCTATGCCAAACTACCCACACTAAGGGTGTGAGGATCCCTTCATAAGCAGCCAACAGCAATCTGGTGGGGAAGGCAGCTGAAAACTTCCCTCCACTCACAAACCAGTTATCTAAGCCAAGAACTGCAGTAAGACTGATGTGTTCCTTTAAGAGAGATATCTGATGACGAATATTTACTCAAGAGAGAAAAAGTATATACTTTGTAAGGAGGCACAGTTCTATGATCACAGAAAATACTATTTTAGCATCCTTCCTAGCAGGGAGAGGTTATATAGAAAATGAGCTTTGGTTTCTAAAATTTCATCTAGAGTTTAGATTTACAGAAGTTAACACTAGTGTGGCTAAAAATGGCATCCCTTATGTATACTCCTTAATAACTGTTATAACTTAATTAAGATGCTATACATGTATTTCACGGTCCTGCACAGACAGACGTTTACTCTTACCTGTAACAGGCAATCTAGGGTACCCTTGTAGCCAAAGGATCTGCCATCTCGAAGAGTTGTCTGATTCATCATACGAGTTCTCACAACATCAACAGGGTTTGAGGCCAGGGCCCCCGCCAGACCACAAGTGAAGCTTGAGCTATGAAGAAAACAGCATTGAGAAAAAGCACAACGTTAAGTACCACTCAGCTACAACTACAGCAAAAGCAGGAAACAGCTTGCTCCCAATTCATGTTAAATATGGAGCTAAATGAACTGTATCAAGAATAAGGTCCATAGTTACAGTCCAACTTCTTAAATATCAGCCACAGCTAAGAATGCCACTGAGGTTTCAGAAGGTCAAAGAATCATAGAAAAATGAAGGAATGTCCTCCAAGGATGATCTGTTTTACCTGTAGGCAGGCGTCAGAGAAATTCTAGCCATATCATATTCTTACTATTCCTACAGGTCAAAGCACAAGATTACCTCCCTGGATGCCCACCGGGGTCTGAGGTCCTACCACAGGCCATGCTACACAGTACTGTTTAATTACGCTTAGCCTAAAGTTGCCGCCATACATAACTACCTGTAGCCTAAGTTACCATGTATATAACTTGCAACCTACTATATAGAACCACTTGTAACAAGCAGCCAAGTCTCAGCCAATCAGTCAGCCAATCACAGGCCAAAAGTTGCCAATCATACATATCCAAACAAAGCAGATGCAGAAATGCAGCCCATCAGGAGAACTCTGACAAATGCTTCTCAATTTACGGTAGCTGTGTCCCCATAAGCCCATCGTAAATTGAAAATACTGTAAATAGAAATATGTAATACCAGATATATTAAGCATCAGTTGAGTCTAGCCTACCTAATGTGCTCAGAACATTCAGTCACTACACTTGGGCAAAAAGGCCTTATATAATGTCTATTTGATAATAAAAGGTTACACATCTCATGTAACTTACTGAATACCATACTGAAGCAGAAAACAGATGGTTAGATGGCTATATTTTCACCTTATTTCAAAGTTGAAAATCCTAAACCAAAGTACAAGGAGGCCATCTGCATGCTCCTTCCATTTCTCTAGCCACAAACACTCCTGCACACACTGTGGACGCAGCTCTGATAAATATTCCTACACATTATGGGATGCAGCTCTGATAAATACTGCACATGCTGTGGAATGCAGCTCTCTAAACCATTTATCATCATGAATGCTACTCTGCTCATGAACCTTTCTTCTGCTCAAATAAACTGATAACCTGACCATGGTTTTTATTTTAATAGTATAAGTTAACTCAGAAGTTCCTCAGCCTGAGCACCCCTCACATGTTGGCTGATCATGGCCTTTGGTGTGTAAGTCATCCTGCTCACACTAAGGTTAAATCAGTATCAGCAACATTTCCTCTCTACCCACTAGATGTAAGTAGTGCTCCCTCTAGTGGTAATAAACAGTGTCCACACTTGGTCAAATGTCCTGTCAGGACAAAGTCATTCACGTCACTAATAGATTAATGATCTATGATATACATAATCAATGTGATCATCTGCAGTTACTAAAAACAAATTAATCTGTAAGAATGGATGTGAGCCAGGTGTGGTGGCACATGCCTGTAGTCCCAGCACTTGGTGGATTTCTGGGAGTTCAAGGCCTGCCTCTTCTACATAGTGACTTCCAGGCCAGCTGGGGTTGCAAGGGAACCGTGTCTCAAAAAGACCAAAAAAAAAAAAAAAAAAGGACATGAAAATATAGTTGGAATGTACTGTAAGATTTTAAAAGGCAAATAATACAAACATTACCTTACCTGTGTATGAAAGTACATGTACTATACTTTTGTAGACAGGATGTATTTGCAAATATAGGTACATATCTGTTAACAACAGCTACCGATGTACAGGTAAGGACTTTTATTTTGTCCTGTTTCACTCCTGCATTAAAATGTTTTCAAATAAGTAAATGATGCTATTAAAGTACTCTCTCTAAAACGTCTATAAATTTATACCAAATTTCCATTCTAAACTCATGCATACCTAAAATATTAATTTTAAAATCCATAAACATACAGGAAGTGGGTATAGACAGTGTCTCCAATCAGGCCTGAGAGTATCAGATGCTTCTTGGTGATGTCATAGACTGGAAGCTCCACACCGACAACAATAGCAGCCCTCTGAGCTGTAAGGGACACACCCTAGGTAAAAATATTAATAATGAAATGATCTAGATATCTGTCCACAGAATACAAACGCACAGAAATTCTATTCCAAATCCCTATTCCCGTTAGTGGGTAGAAATGTGTAGTGACGAGCAGCAAAGGCCACCAGCAAGAACTCAAAAGCACTGACGTCAGTTCTGACTCTGCACCAACTATATGATCTTGCACCAGACCACGGCTAGGACAGCCATCCTCAGATCTCTGGTTTCCCTGTCACACTGAGGGATCATCCTGGGTGATATTTAGAGTCTGTCTATGAACTGATGCGTCACTGAGATACTAGGAAACAGCATTCCACACCACCACTTGCCTAATCACAGACTTTACCTAAGTCACCAAACCACACAGCTCAATCACCTGGTGCAGCTGGGACCCAGGTATATTCTGTGTAAGGATTTAAACAACAAAAAGCACACATCAAATAAACAAGAAAGTGTTCAACCTTCACAAAACTCTTTATATGCATTATTTGAAAGACACTTTAAAATCACAACATATTCCTTATATTCTCATTTTATAATCAGGGAAATTAAGAAAGAGGTTATCTTCAAAAGCAGAAAATGCCAGCCTTCTCTCCTCACTCCATTATAGCGCTTAGATTAAAACACAGTGATGAACATGGACAGATAGACTCTTAAAAGGAAAAGGGCTAAGAAGGCAGCCAGTTGGCTCTGCTCAGTAGGCTTACCTTCCACAGTCCTCTTGTCCCTTCCTGCTGGTAAATGTTAATGAAGTTGCCTATCATTCCTCCTCGAACAGTGCTGCTCTGCGCCTGCATTCGGATCTACACAACATTTTAACGATCAACATGAGAAGGAAACTGGCACCTTCCCCGCCACCAGGTACCTCTGAAAATCATCAACCAAGTGCTTAGGCTTGGAGAAGACTAGCACAAAAATGACTGTGGTGCTACTTTCACACCCTCAGGAGACTAAGAGCATATGAAGGTTGGTTCTCAGGAACTCCAGAATCTAAGAAGACCCCAGTAGCATCCACAGACTCCGATATACAGCATTTCATTTCATTTCATTTCATTTCAGTCTCAATTTTTAAGAAGCCTTTTGGGAAGGAGAGTAACAGCCTATTTCTCTATATGTTACTAAGTAGGAAAGAAAGTAATTTTAATGTCAACAGTTTAACATAATTAGGGCTGGAGAAAGATCTGAGTGGTTTAAGAACACTGGCTGTTCTTGCAGAGGACCTAGGGTGGATTCCCAGCACCCATCTGGTGGCTAACAACCACCTGTAACTCCTTTTTCAGGGTACCTGGCGCTCTCTTCTGACCTCTGTGGGTACCAGGCATGCATGTGGTACACAGACATACATATAGACAAAATATTCGTACCATAAAATAAATCTTTTAGGGGCTGGAGAGATGGCTCCGTTGTTAAGAACACTAGTTGTCCTTGCAAAAGACCTGGGTTCGAATCCCAGCACCTACATGGTAGATAACAACTGTCCATAACTCCAGTCCCAGGGGATCCAACAGACTCTTCTGACCTCCTCAGGCATTACACGACATGGGTGCACTTACCTACATGCCGGCAATACATGCATACACATAAAATAAAAATAATGAATAAAATTTAAAAATTAAAAATTAAAAAATAAATCTTTTTTTTTTGAGACAGTCTGCCTGTAGCCCCAGTCGGCTTGGGGCTCACTATGTCGCCCAGGCTGGCCTCGATCTCACAGAGACCCATCTGTTCCTGCCTCCAGAGTGATGGGACTAAAGGTGTGCACCACCATGCCCAGCAAAAATAATTTTTAGAAGGATTTAATACAGTTAATAAGTTACCCAGTATACTGGGCTGCAGTAAATAACAGGCAAATATAGTTCTTAAATTGCCCTAAGCCACAACTATTTCCAGTCCACTAAACTAAAGGTATGCAAATAAGCCTGTCACATGATGCTGTTACATACACTGTTATACTGAACTTCTACAGCTCACAAGCCCATGACTGGATTCCATAAGTGAAATGTTCAATGGAGCACTTTGTCTTCTTAAAAATGAAGAGACTTCTCACTAAAAAATCAGCACCTTGTATTGTCAAGGGAGCAAATATATTGTCACTAACTTCTGAAAGACTTGTTACTGCCGTACTAACATGAGAAAACTAACCAAAATACAAAAATCACTATCCCTATTTAAGAACTAATGGGGGTCAGGCGTGGTGGTGCACACCTTTAATGCCAGCACTTGAGAGGCAGAGACAGGCAGATCTCTTTGCATTCCAGGCCAGCCTGATCTACACAGAGTTCTAGGCTAGCTGGGGCTACAAGGAGACCCTGTCTCAAAAAGACCAAAAAAAAAGTTAATAGGTGCTGAGATGGCTCAGCAGTTAAGAGCACTGGCTGCTCTTGTAGAGGATCTGGGTTCAGTTCCAAGCACCTACATGGCAGCTAACAAACCATTCATAACTCCAGTTCCAGGGGATCCAACGCCCTCTTCTGACTTCTGCTGGTACTGCATGACACAGGTGCACTTACACACATGCAGGCAATATACACTCATACACATAAAATAAAAATAGTAAAATTTATTTTTAAAAAAGTAAGTTGATAGTAGTGGGGACACACACACATGCTACACCTTGTTTATAGTACACGTGTTAACTACAGGGCACCCAACATGCTGCATACAGTTTTAGTGCTTGTCAGAATCTCCTATTGGGTCCTCCTCTGACATCTGGGTGCTAAGCACACAGTCCAAAGCACAGAATATTAATTAAATAATAGGGATGAAAGGGAATACTCTAGGGATGTTCAGAAAGTAATTCATATAGAATTTTTCTACTAGTTATTCCCCTGCCTTATTCCAAAAAAGATTTCAGGAACTGTATCCCTGTGCTCAACAAGTTCAGCTGGTTACTTCTAATTTCTGTACATACATATTTATATCTGTATTTCCTGACATAAAATTTGTAGATAAGAAAACAGCCTAGATTTGTATAATTTTGTATAGCCCCTATATTTTTAAAGAACCAATAACATAAAGATGTTCTATGAAAAAATAACTCAAATATATGAGTATTTTTTTTCTACTTAATCACCAAAATCCTTATCTCCAAAATGATCTGTATTACTTAATCCCATCTATATCTGTGCAGAATCCCTTTAATGGCTATTTAAAAGTTAGATATTCACACATGCACAGATTTTCATTATCTGAATGCTCTTCCCAGTAAGAAAGTGTAGAATGTGCCTCTATGATGCAGCTAGCCCAGCTTACTTTCAAAACATCGGTTGGATTAGCAATAGCTGAGGATATGACTCCAGATAGAATTCCACATATGACATTGATCAGCAGGGTTTCGTCTGCAAACAAAGACACAGCAATTGATTCTTTATACAGAGTTCTTCCTGTGAGCAACTCCAGTAACGTATAACTCATTACACTCTGTTTGTTCATGTGAAGATAAAAAAATGCATGCCCAGGGACAGAGAGATGCCTCAGTGGTTAAGAGCACTGACTACCCTTGCAGAGGACTCAGGTTCAGATCCCAGCACCCATATGATAGCTAACAATCATCTCTAACTCCATTTCCAGGGGATCTGAAGCCCTCTCTGGTCTCCACAGGTACTGCACACATGTGGCATACTTACATACATGCAGGCAAAACACATACACAATAATTTTAAAAAAGAAATGTATGCTCTCCGAATCAAGCAATTAAAATTTAAATGATCTGCTACTGTTTTTTGTTTTGCTAAACAATCAGCCTCAGAGAAACATTTTTGTACAGGGGGATTAACAGAGAGACTCACAACTGGCACAGTGATGAGAATGTGGGACTGTTGAGTACTCAGTCTCAAAAGGGACATTTATATCACCCCCTTCAATGCCCAGAGAAATAAAAGGGAAGAGGAGGCAGAAAAATGTGAGCGTCAGAAGACAGAGAGGAGTACTAGGAACTGTCCTCTGTACACAACAAGCCATTACAATCATAAACACACAGTAGCTGTGACGTCCCGCTTGGGTGGGGGAGGGGCTTGTGAGGCAGTGCTGCTCCTCCTTGAGGAGCTACTGGCAATTGCTGGGAGAGAGAAGGCTATTTTCTTCAGTGGTATAGCCACTAATAAGCTGCCCATGTCCCACTGAACAACCCCTCACCCATGCTCACCCAAACAACCCTAACTAAACTCAGGGGCCCACAGAAATAAACAGACAGGAAAGTAGGAGGGTGACTGGCTGGGAATGAGGGGGACGGCAGGAGGGCCAGCCAGGCCAGTAGGACCACAACACCTTGAAAACATGCATGGAACTGTCAGGAAAAAGTTAAAATTATGGTGGCTGAAAGGATTTTGTGTAACAAAATTTTTTGGTATCCGAAAGTAAATTTAAACCATCAGAGTGAGAATACCAATTCAGCTGTATGCAATTCACACCATCATGGTTCAAATGAGGCATAGCTGTTAGGAAAATAAGAGACATGTTCCTAGGAGACAGCATGGAGGGTTGTTTGGCAGAGGAAGTTTTAAAAACACAACATAGTTTGGTTTTTTTTGTGTTTTTTTTGTTTTTTTTTTACGAGTATGAGTGTTTTGCCTGCATGTATGTAAGAATACCCATGTCATGCAATGCCCACAGAGGACAAAAGAGGGCATCAGATCCCCTGGAACTGGAGTTGTTTGCTGTCATGTGGATGCTAGGATTCGAACCTGGGTTTTCTGCAAGAGCAGCCAGTGCTCTTAACCACTGAGTCATCTCTCCAGTCCCTGAAAATTATATTTTCTTAAAAGACAAATGATTAAAATATTTGTACACACAGCTCCTTGTAAGGTTTGCTCCCCACAGTTCAGTATGGGCACAATTCATTTAAGCTTTGCACCCAGGCTCCTCCTCAGTGGTAGAAAACTAGCAAACAGATAAGGAGAATCTGCTCCAAAACCACTAGAATAGAAAGATCAACAACCCACCTCCTGTCCCAGTTGGAAAAGATTCCCACTTACCTTCCGGGCGTTCCACAAACAATTGCTTCAAACTCTGGTAAGTGCCGATCTTGATGGTGCCATAGGAAGCCTGGCGCAGCATCGCAGGGGCAATCCTGTCACATCACATGCAGAAACACAGTCAAACTACCACTAAAATGGTTATCTTAGCATTCAACATCCAAAAAAAAAAAAACAACCAAGTCTTGAAATTAGTGATAATTATTAGTTCCCTAAGTGAAAGCTTGAGGCCCAACAAACTGCCATTCAAACAATTTTCTTTCTTCTTCTTTTTTTAAAAGATTTATTTCTTAATTATGTGTATGTGGGGGGGGGTGCACATGAGTGCAGGTGCCCAGTTAGAGGATGATGCTGTGAGTCGCCCAACATGGGTCCTGGGAACTGAACTCTGGTCATCTGCAAGAGCAGTGAGTGCACCTAACTATGCTCTTAACTGCTGAGCCATCTCTAAAATGATTGTCTTAACATTTATAATCCAACAAAAAATTAGTTAGTTCCCTAAGTGGAAGCTTAGGGCCCCTTAACCTATGTGTGAGGTCCATTTGCCATTCACATTAAAATGCAAGGGCACTCCTTTCTGAGTACAAAAGACCCTGGAAAGCTAGCTTGAGATGACACCTTGCAGGTGCCTGTCATTCCTCCACTGCTGCTGAGCAGCTATCTCCTACCTCCTTGGAGACTCTGTTCAAGTTATTTCCTTTCCACAAAAGTTTTCCCAATACAATACTCGAAGTTTAAGCCAGAATCAGGAAACACAAGCTAAATTTCCTCTATCCTAGGTATCACCCCTCCCAGCCACCCTGTTGCATGATTCTACCTGCCCCCACCGTGACCTCCAGTTCTTTCTGCACTTTCCACTTCCTTCTGTAATTACAGCCTGAGCTCTCCTTCCACCTCCTCATCAAGGTGACCAGTCAGGATCGAGTGCATGTTTTCCAAGTAACATCTCATATAGCCTCCTTGCAGTATTTGCTCCTGACTGCTCTGTCTTCCCTGACCTGGTGCAATATCACCTTTCTTCATTTCTTTTCTCTACATCATAGCATCTTACATATGTTCTCTGGAGGTTCCCAAGATTCTGTCTTCTCTCTTTTTTTCCACACCCCCTCCCACAAGAAGTCATCCACTCCTAAGGCTTCATGGGCATCCTTACAAGTGATTCCTAAATCCATGTTCCAACACTAACCTAAAGATAATTTTCGTTGGATATGGTGGCGCAAGCCTTTAATCCCAGCAGAAGCAGAGAGGGAGGCCAGCCTGATCTACAGAGTGAGTTGCAGGCCAGCTGAGGTTACAAGGAGAAAGACCAAAAAAAAAAAAAAGACAACTTCCAGTTGTTCCCTAGATCCTCAATTTACACATCCTACATACACACCCCATCAAACGCCCTGCACTGAACTCATTCTCTTTCTTCTTCAAGCATTAGCTCTCCTCTTCTGTTTCCTATGTCAGAGAATAGAGCCTCTACCTCTAGCTACAGACTGGCCAAATCCACTGAGCTTTGTTTCCTCCTTAATTCTTCTTCCTGATCTTTATTAACACTTTATTACCCCTCCTACATGGGGACCTGACAATGAAGTCATACAACGCTGCTGATCCCATCAGCCTTCATAGTTTCCTAGCCTGCCTTCTCCTTCTTCATCTTCAAGACCAATACCTCAGCTCTGATGCTCATCAGCTCTGCTTCCCACACAGCACCCCTACTCTTGGGATTCTTATCTTTTAACTCTTCCCATGGCTAAGAGATTTTCCTGATGAAAGCCTACTCATGTCAGTCTTTCTACCAAGAACTCTTCAAAGGTGCCTGTCTGCCACAGATGTAGCAAACTCAAATGTTTACAAGCACCAGATAGATACCAGGAATGAGTGAGCACCCTCAGTTCAACTACATATATACATATGCCACATGTGAAGAAGTTTTTATAAACCAGAAAAAGTATCCTCAACTCCAGTTACTGCTGCCGTAGTGAATCAATGCAGGCCTGGTGTTGCCTTTTCTTTCTCTGATTTTTAGGTGCAAGCACTTATTCTTATAATATTGACTTGGATGAGCATGGTGGCACATACCTACAATCTCAGTTGCTCAGGAGGCTGAGGGAGGAAAATCATTTGAGGCCAGGAGTTCAAGGCAGCCCGGGCAACATAGTGAGATCTCTCTCTGAATGAATGAATGAATGAAATATCCTTGGTAAATGAAAATCAAAAGCCTTTGAGGATTAGTGGTTCCATGGAGGAGCTGTGGGTCACCAATGTGGGGTCCTGCACTTGGCATGGCATGAGACTCTCCATGTCCTGATCCTTTATTAACACTCCAGCTCCATGTCTTGCTACTCACTAACTCACTATATCCATGATGAAATAAATGCTTGCAGTTCTGGAGATGTTAATGCTGCCTACCAGTATGACAACACCTTCCTTCTAACTTTACCTGGCTAATTCTTCTCTATCCTTCGAGGCATGATTCAATGCTCCTGGATGGAGCAGCTCTCCTTAAAGTCCCCACCTCCCTGCCCCCAACAGTATGGGACTGACTGATGCTCTCTCTCTACCAAACCCTAGTACTCATCAGATACAACCATAATTCCATTTCTACATCTGCAGCATCCACCGATGACAGTTTATTAAGGACTGTGTGAAGCTCTGATTTTCAGCTATCCTCCAGATCCATGCTTACCCTTCTGTACCATGAGTCGACATTCACAGACTACATCTCCAGACTCCCTTACAGCTGACTTCCAAGAGTCCAGCTACTTGGAGAGGGAAAAGGAGAAATAGGGGATTTCTTCCTTTCCTGGGTCATCACCAAAGCATCCCTGAGAACTGGCCTCTCCATCAAGGACCCACCTACCTGGGCTCTGGCACCATGCGTCCTGCCCTTGGCTCCTTGGCCCAGAGTTGGTGAGGATTTTTTTACTCTGCTAGTTTCTAGGTACCTCAATATCTACCCTTCATTTGTTCCCTCATGCCCTGACATCCCTTTTACTTAAGGTCCTTCATTTAAGTCATCCAAGGGTATTCTGCTCCCTGAAGAGAAGTCATTGGTATAGACGAGGCCTTGGGCTGTTCACATTCAAGCAGTTCCAAGTCTTACCCACATGATATCACTTTTATCATGGTAAAACCTTAATCATTCAGAATAACCAAAGGGCTATTTGTTCAAAGAGTGAAAAACTGAATAATGGGATAGTTTAAACAAATGTACTTTGCATTGTTGTTTGCCCTTGACTAAAAACACAATTTTACCAAAACATTTGCTATATAACATATATTTAGAAAACAGCTGAAATTAAAAGTGAAAAAATTGGGACTGGAAAGACGGCTCAGTAGTTAAGGGCACTGGCTGCTCTTGCAGAGGACCTGGGTTTGTTTCCCAGCACCTTCGGGGTAGCTTACAGCTGTTTGTAATTCCAGGTCACAGGAACTCTGCTGCCCTCTTCTGGGTTCTGTGGGCATTGCATGACAAAGGTATCTGCAGGCAAAACACTCACAGGACATAAAATTTACAAAGAAAAAAAACCCTCTACCATGTTAACTGCTCTTTTCAAATGCCCTCAAATTCCTACTTTTTCTTTATGAAGGTGCTGTGTTAAGTATCCACCTGAAAGGGTCCACAGTGAAACACAAATGCACAAACACGGACTCACCCAGAATACAGCGCCATTAACCCTTCTTCTCTGCCTATCCTTATCAATGCGTGCAACATCCCTCGATACCTAATTTCTTGAAAGTTGGCATCGTTTGTCTGGCCTTGAATCTGGAGCCGCGTCTTAGTTAAATCAATTGGAAATGTGCCTTAAATTTTTAAAGAAAAAGAAACATTAGGAAATGGTAGGGCAGGGCTGGGGAGACAGCTCAGTTAGTAAAGTGCTTCACAAACATGAGGACCTGAATTTGATCCCCAGGATCCACGTAAAAAAGCTGAGTGTGGTGGCACAAGCTGGGGAAGTGAAGACAGGCAGATTCTTGGGGCTGGCCAGCCAGCCTAGCTGACTTAGCAAGATCCAGGCCAGGGAAACCATATCTTAAAAAAAAGACTCCCAAGGTTGTCTTCTGACCTATACATGTGCGCACACACACACACACACACACACACACACACACACACTCTGGCAACCAGGCATGATAGTACATATGTATAATTCTGCACCTAGGAAACAGAGGGAAGACTGTGAAGTTTGAGGCCAACCTGTGTTACAGAGTAACACTGTCTCAGAAAATTGAACAATAGGGGCTGGAGAGATGGCTCAGTGGTTAAGGGCACTGGCTGCTTTTGCAGAGGACCCGGGTTCTATTCGCAGCACCCACATGGCAGCTAACAACCATTCGCAACTCCAGTTCCGGGGGATCTGATGCTCTCTTCTGACCTCTATGGGTACTGCACAGCACAGATGCACTTACATGTGTGCAGGCAATGCAACCATACACATAAAAATAACTATATATACATATAGAGAGAGAGAAAGAGACACGCGCACGCGCGCGCACACACACACACACACACACACACACACACTTTTTTTTTTTTTTGAGACAGCTCTAGCTATCCTGGAACTCACTAGGTAGACCAGGTTGGCCTCGAACTCACAGAGATGTGCCTGCCTCTGCCTCCCAAGTACTGGAATTAAAGACAGTCACCACCATTTTTTTTTTTTTTTTTTTTTTTTTTTTTTTTTTTTTTTTTTTTTTTTTTTTTGAGAAAGGGTCTCCCTGTAGCTCCAACTGGCCTGGAACTCATTATGTAGACCAGGCTGGCCTCAAACTCACACAGATCTTCCTGCCTCTGCCTCCCGAGTGCTGGGACTAAAGGCTAGTGCCACTACACCTGGCACAAAATAACAATATACTTTTAAGAAAATCAAACAATATAAAATGAAAAAAAGAAATGGAACATGTTGTGCAATCTTTTACTTAAAAAGAAAAAAAGGAACCAAATGAGTAACAAACCAAAAAATGAATAAACATGTCTTTGTTTTTGAGACAGGGTCTTGTGTTGCTCAATATGGCCTTAATCTTGCTATGTAGCCAAACTGGTCTTGAACTTCTGACCTGCTTACTTCCAACTCCCAAGTATCTGCATCACAGGCAGGTACTACCACACACTCAGGTAAATGCCCCATCTTTTCTATTAAAGAACTGAGGAGGCTATAATACTATAGAATCAAGATGAAGCAGAATCATTTACATAAAAGGAAATCCATTTCCAACCCCAAATGACTGTATTCTTTATGTATGTTAAAGGCTAAAATTGGGTTCAATAACTGAAGAAAGGTAAAAATTCACTTTTTGAAAGAATTCTCACTTATGAGAATAAAGGAATGTTTTATAATCTAGAATTCAATCAGATGAGGCAGGTAAGGATACTTAATATACCAGACCATCAAGCCAAATATATAGAATCCACCCTCAAACAGTGACCATGATTCACTGAAACCAGGTTAATTCATTCAGCAAGATGAATCGTTCTTTGAAAGTCCTCCAATCACAGAAAGCCCACCAGCACCACTGAGGGGGTGATTGGTGTACCCTGCAAGTGAACTGAGCAGAGTATCCACCTCAGCACTGGAGGCTCATAAGCTGATCAACAAGCACTGGATAAACAGAGAATAAACACAGGAGCAACGTGATCAGACATGGAACCCAACTGAGGAAGCCACAATGGATACGGAAGACACATAAAATGAGAAAGTACTTGAGTACAGTCAGTCTGGTTCCACGAAAAGCCTGGAGCTTCCCAAACCTCTTTGTAGCCAAATGGGTTAATAGTGGCAAAGTAGGGAAAAGGGCATGAAAAATGGGGACAGAAAAATCCAAATGGGATTCATGAAACTGTTTGGTCAACAGACTCAACTTTCTCCCCACTGAACTTTGAACCTGAAGCTGCTAAGTAGCCAAAATTATTAATCTGCTTTTAAAAACATACCCAGAGAAGGCATGTCTGAGTGTGGAGGTTAGTATTTCAGAAGCCTGCATACTGTACTAGAACAGCATACACAACACAACACCAAACAGCAGCTATCACACCCAACAGGCAAGGTGACTTCAGAGCCAGACTCCTTACCACATTCGGCTGTGATGGAGGCCAACCCTCCATACACAAAGGGCTTCCAGTTCAGGGCTGACATTCTCACAGTCCCTTCTCCTTGGAGTTACTCAAACATCGCCTCCTTCAGGGTTTGTCCTGGACACAAAAGGAAAAAGATTCAAAACTGTAACTTACTTGGGGCTAGAGAGAGAGCTCAGCAGTTAAGAGCACTGACTGCTCTTAAAGAAGACCCGGGTTCAATTCCCAGCACCAACATGGCGGCTACAAACTGTCCTTAACTAACTGGAACTGGACCAGGGGAATCCGAAGCTCTCTTCTGACCTCCGTGGCATTGCACGACACGGGTGCACTCACATACATGCAGGCAATATACTCATACACTCCTCCTCTACGCATAATGGAAAGCCAGAGGGCTCAGTCTAGAGCAGTGTCCACAGCTGCCGTTATTACAACACCCATGTCATATCTGTAAGACAGGGTCTCATGATACTCTTTCCTGTCCTCCAGCTCCTATCCTGCCCCCTCTTCTGGGATGTTCTCTGGGCCTTGGGGGCAGGAGATGATATGCACTCATCAGTCACTTACTGTCAGTACTCTGACCAGACAGGAGTCTCTGTATCAACAGTCAGCCCCGGTAAAAAGAAGCTTCTCTGCCCCAGCTAAGAGCCACACTAGTCTATGGGCACAAACATTGATATTCAAAAGGCAAACTGACAACATGCAAATTTAGAGAAACATGTTAACTTGAGCAGCCCCTGCCCCCATCCATGCCCTCCTCAGCCATAGGTTTCTGATCAGATTTATAGTGCCAGGTGTATATTCCCTCCTAGAGTAGGCTTCAAATCCAATCACAAAGCACTTGGTTACCCCCAAAATAGTAGTGCCACTATTGCAGTCTGTCATGTTGCTCAACATGGCTTAAAACTTGCTATGTAGCCACTGCTGACCTTGCACTCCTGATATGCTGACTTCCAACTCCCAAGCTGGGTGAGACCTTTGATGAGTTTTCTCTGCCAGCAGCCTGCCCAGCACCTTCTGTCACCAGTCAGCAGGGAGGGAATTTCTAAATCAATTCTATCTTGATTTCTCTGTGTCTTATAATCAAAGTGTGTGGGAGCACACAAATTTTTATTCACTAACATAAAACAATGCCTACTTGAGGCCTATTGGAGGGATTAAACAGTATACAGGTTGAAAGCACTCAACAATCCTTGCCTTCTCCTCCCCCCCCACATAGGGCCATGCTCACAAGCCACAGCCCAGGCTCTTTGCATTCATGTTCTAGCCATCCTGCAGCTGTATGTGATCACCTGGTAAATTTGGCCTTCCACCCACTCCCAAGAAACATAAATTGATATACTACTGAAACTAACTACTGTCTAAATCTAATAGCTATTCCTCACTTACTAATATTAAGCAAATTCAATGTAGTTATAAACAGGCAGGGTAGAAGGCTCCCTAAGCACAGAACTTGAAGGTCATCACATTTTTGTCAAAAAGCAAGCTCTCTCCCCAAAGTTCCTCTCACCTCACTATTATCCTTGAAAACACTGAATACCTGTGTTTAATTCCTAACCTTACTAAACTCACAATTAATCATTAACATTGTACGCTACAGACTATAAGAACACAACAATAAATCTAACAATTCATTTGCTGTCTAGTAGTAAACCTCAACCTACTTTTGGGTTTTGCTGACTGCTAAGTTAAGAAACAAAACAATGATTGCAGGGCAGTGGCTTTGCAGACATAATGGAACTAACATGTCCTACATAAATTACTTAGTGACTCAAGTGCCTCCTCCTTTCTGCTACAACCTGAGCTGTACACAATCCTAAGAGGAAGACATCTTAAAGAGCCCACAAGGACATTGTGATAATGAAAGATAGTTTATTAATTTTAAATAAGGAGCAACTACTGTTAATCAGAATTGCAAAGGTACTACTAACAAGATGCATCTTATAAACAAGATAAGTTTAAGAGAAAAATCTTAAAATATTCAGAAATTTTTCCAGCACATAATATACAAATGTAGTGTTCACATGATATTTTTTTCAAGGTTTTGTGTATGTGTGTATGTACATGGATGCAAGTACATGTGTAAGGGTAGGATGCATATGTGTGAGCATGTGTGAAAGCCAGATGACACCCCAGAGACCATTCCTTAGGTCTACCTACCTTTTCTGAAACAAGGTCTTGCACTAGCCTAGAACTTGCCGATTCAGTTAGATTGGCTGGACAATGACCCACCTGTCTCCACCTCCCCAGCACTGGGAGGACATGAGCTCACCACACCTGACTTTGCACATGGGTTCTGGTTCCCAAACTCGGGCCCTAGCAAGCACTTTACCAACTCAACTACCTCCCCGGCTCCCCAAGCTTTTTTTTTTTTTTAAGTTTGTTTTTATTAAATTCTGTTGTATTTCATATAGAATATCTCAAACAATCTGAATCTCTATAGCCCCATCCCCACCAGACCCTTCCCATAGCCCTTCCAACTGGAACCCATATACTCTGTGCTGGGTGTTAAGGCCCACTATGTCAAGTCAGTGTTCCCAGATGTTCCCCAGTGCAAGTCCATCCACTTGTGGTCTAGTCAGATCACTCTCATCTATCCAAACACCTATCACTTTCATTTTTTCTTTTCTTTTTTTAACAGAGCATAGGGTGGGGAGGGGGTTATTTACAGATTGAGTGGGTGTCCCCCATTTACGGATGTACTGGAAAGTCCAGACTCAAGTATAGATCCTGTGACTTCCCGACAGCCACACAAAATGGTGAGAGAGGTGCCTCCTGGCATTCTCAGCTTATATATCCTCAGCCTCTCCTTCACATGCGGCTAAGGTCAACTGACTGGGTAGGAGGTGTAACTGACTCCCTGCTTGACTCCTTCATGAGCGTGGGCAGGAGGTGTGACTGTAACTTAGTGGCATAGTGGTAACACTTCCAGTTAACACTCCACCCCTTCCTCCAGCTCTTACATTCTTTCTACCAACCTCTTCTGCAAAAGTCCCTGAGCCTTGGAGGGGGTGGTAGGTGTGGGATGATTGTCCTCCTATTGTGGCAAGGCACTGGACTTTCAGGTCTCTGCATTGTCAGTTTTCCATGGGCTATTGGCCCATTTCAGTGGGATCCCATCTACTGTAAAAACACAAACATCGCTGGGTGTGGTGGCGCACACCTTTAATCCCAGCACTCAGGAGGCAGAGGCAGGCAGATCCCTGTGAGTTCAAGGCCAGCCTGGTCTACATAGTGAGTTTCAGGACAGCTGGGGCTACAGGGAGACCCTGTCTCAAAAAGACCAAAAAAAAAAAAAACACCACAAACAGCAAGAACATCTAAACAGTGGCTGCTATAACTTAACCTATGGGTATAAACACAAATGCTTGGACAGTACTTTAGCAGGTACATCACATCCATCTAACAAAACAACTACAGTGGCTTCCCATTGGCACCTATATTCTCCCCTGCCACAGGGGGTTGGTCTGGTCTACAGTACCAGATGCATGTTCCATCCCTAGAAGCAGGCACTATATCCAATCAAAAATTTGCTGGTTGTACATACACTAGGTGCTCCACTATTGCACCAGCAAGAACAACTTGTTTAGTATGTTGATAGTGCAACACGCAGGGTTCATAGTTGAGCAGAATTATAGGGAACAATTCTCCCCCAGTCATCTGCATATCACCTTTTGGTACGATGAAAACCACCCATCCAGTGGCAGGGTGTTTCCAGCTTAGTCCAAGCTTGACTTCTCACTCTCCTGCGCTCACATCAAGCAGTGTCTTCAGCAATAGGGTCCCTCTGTCCACTTCCAGTGTACAACCAACATTATTGGCAATGGCCTTTATTGTTTTGGACACATTCAGCGCCCCTCAGGCCAACAGCTCACAGTGGGGAAACCCATCTCTGGCACTGGGATTTTCATTTAACAAGTGTATTGCTTCTGGAAGGGCTTTCTTCCATCCCCATAGGGTTCTTTCTGTGCTTAAGGTTTGTTTTTTTTTTTTTTACTGTGTATCTGGAGAATTTTTTTCCCCTTTATTCTCATAGTTCTTTAGCCCCAAGCTTTTTATAAGATAAGATTAACAATTTCAAATAAACAATTGAGTACCATGTGGTGGGGCACACCTTTAATTCTAACAACTCGAGGCAGATGCAAGTTCCAAGCCAGCAAGGGATAAATGGAGACCCTGTCTCAAACAAACAAACAAAAACAAAAAACAAAAGAAAAATAATGGAGTAGCTCTTAGTACACTCAGTGTTGTTCAAACACCTCTTGATCTAGGACCTCAAAACTTCCATCATCCCCAAAGGAAATCATTACACAGCTGCTCCCATTCCCGACCCCCACTGTACTTCTGGTTTTGAATTGTGAGAAGTAACAGAAGCATCAAGCACCTGTGCGGAACACCGACTTCCTGAGCAGCTCTTTACCAGACTACAGAGCTTCATAAAAGTACAAACACAAGGGCCACACCACTGAATGAGCATTGCAAGGGGGCAGCCAAGCATCCATGCTTAACGAAAAATCAGTGAACTAAATAAATGATGGCCAATGTATCAAAGGATCTAACGATCCATTTAAAGTAGCCGAGTTTCAGAGCTGGAGAGATAGCTCAGCAGTTAAGAGCACTAGCGCTCTTCCAGAGGACCTGGGTTTGATTCCCAGCACCCACATGGTGGCTAACCACCATCCACAACTCTAGTTCCACAGGATCCAATGCCCTCTTCTGACCTCTGCCAGCACTGCAAGACATGGGTACACCTACCTACATGCAGGCAATACACTCATACACATAAAATATAAATAAAATATAAAAATAAAACAGGTGATTTTCAATAATGACATTACAATTGATTCTTCTTTTCCTTCATATCATTTAGAAGTGGTTTTTTCTGCTATTAAATGTATAAATCTGGGGCTGGAGAGATGGCTCAGCAGTTAACACTGTTCTTGCAGAAGACCAGGTTTGAATCCTAGCACCCACATGGGCAGCTAACAACTGTCTGAAACTCCAGTTCCCAGGAATTTGGTGAGCTAACAACTGTCTGAAACTCCAGTTCCCGGGAATTTGATGATATCTTCTGTCCTCCGTAGGCATTGCACGACGGGTGCACTTACATACATGCAGGCAATACACACATGCATATAAAATAAAGATAAATCTTTAAATATATAAATCTATGTGTATTAGCATGTGTACACACACACACACACACACACACACACACACACACAAAGCAGCCTCCAAAATATCAGCAAAAGTTTATGGGAAGGGATTAGAATTTATCTTTAACTTTTCAAAAATAAATACATTGCGATCATTATACCATCATGTCATAACACTGATTTCCTAGTTTTCTGTCACCACTTTTTAAAAAAATGTTTTATGTATATGAGTGTATTGCCTGCCTGCCTGCCTGCATGTACATGTTGTGCAGTGCCCACAAAGGACAGAAGAGGGCATCAGATCCCCTGGAACTGAAGTTACAGATGGTTATTAACTGCCATGTGGGTACTAGGGTTCAAATCCAGGTCTTTTGCAAGAACAGCCAGCACTCCTTAACCACTGACCCATCTCTCCAGAACCTATGTTCATGTGTAAGTGTTTTGCCAGCTGTGCTGGATAGCTTTAGTGTCAACTTGACACACCTGGGTTGAGGGAGCCTCCATTGGGGAATTGCCTCCATAGAACTGGCCTATGGCCATGTCTGTGGGGCATCTTCTTGATTGTTGAGTGATGTGGGAGGGCCCTGTGGGTGTTGCCACCCCTGGGCAGGTGGGCCTGTGTTGCATTAAGAAAGTAAGCTGAGCAGGGGCCAGAGGAGCAAGCCAGTAAGCAGTGTTCCTCCACGGCCTGTGAGCCAGCTCCTGCCCTGAGTTCCTACTTTGAGCTGGCTGATGAACTGTGACCCAGGAGATATAAGATAAAATAAACCCTTTCCTCCCCAAATTGGTATTGGTCAGAGTATTTTGTCACAGCAATGGAGAAACAAGAAGAATACTTGCATTGTATTTAAGTACACCCATGTCATAGAACACCTGTGGATGCCAGAAGAGGGTGTCAGATGACCAGCAGTTGGGAGTCAAGGACAGCTGTTAGTTGTCATGTGGGTGCTGAGAACCAAATCTGGATCCTCCGGAAGAGCAGCCAGTGCTCTTAACCACTCAGTCATCTCTCCAGCCCTCTGACACTACTTTTAATAAGTTTTTACTTCTGTAAAAGCTGACAGTTGTGGGGCTGGAGAAATGGCTCAGTGGTTAAGAGTACTGACAGCTCTTGCAGAGGACCGGGGTTCTCTTCTGACCTCCTCAGGATTGCACAACACAGGTGCATTCACATACATGCAGGCAATACACTCATTCACATAAAATAAAAATAATATATATATTTTTTTAAACATGACATTTGTGAGCCACCATGTGGGTACTGGGAACTGAATCTGCATCCTCTGAAAGAGCAGCCAGTGCTCTTAACCACTCAGTCATCTCTCCAGCCCTCTGACACTACTTTTAATCAATTTTTCCTTCTGTCAAAGTTGACAGTTGTGAGCCACCATGTGGATGCTGGGAACTGACTCTGGGTCCTCTGCAAGAACAGCCAGTGCTCTTAACCACTGAGTCATCTCTCTAGGCCTGAGAGGCGTTTTGTTTTCAAAAAAGATATTCTGAATGGAAACCTCCATACAAATTAAGAATTTCAAAGATTCTCCCTACACTTAAGATATTCACTGTTGCCAGACCTGGTGGCCCATGCCTTAAATTCCCAGCACTCAGGAGGCAGAGGCAGGCAAATCACTGTGAGTTCAAGGCCAGCCTGGTCTACATAGTGAGTTCCAGGCCAGCTGGGGCTACCTGTCTAAAAAAAAAAAAAAAAAAAAAAAAAAAAAAGTGCTGGTGGGATGGCACATGCCTTTAATCCTAGTACTTGGAAGGCACAGGCAGACTGTGAGTTTGAGGTCAGGCTGGTCTCTGTCGCAAGTTCCAGGCCAGCTGGGGCTAGAGACCCTGTCTAAAAAAAAAAAAAAAAAAAAAAAAAAAAAATTGGTACTTGCTGCTGTTTCTTCTGAAAGCTTTCCAAGTTTCTCATATAATTAATCCATAATAAATTATTTTCATTTTACTTTGTATTCTTTCAGTCATCAGTCTTAAACTGTATTCACACTCTAAATTCCTGGGCCCTGATCTTTGTTCCTCCTAGATTACCCTTTCATAAACTTTCCTATTCTCTATTCTGTTTAAAGGCATGGTGGCTCATGCCTTTATCTCAGCACTTGAGAGGCAGAGGCAGAAGGATCTCTGAGTTCAACGCCAGCCTGGTCTACTATGTGAGTTCCAGGCCAGCTGAGACTACAGGGAGACCCTGTCTCAAAAAGACAAAAAAAAAAAAAAAAAAAAAAAAAAAAAAAAAATGTCGTCTTATGTCACATGAATTAATGAACCCATGGTAACAAAGGTTGGCAGTGGCAAAGCCAGGACCCAAATTCACGTCTTTCAACGCTTTACTACGTATCTCCGGATGTATCTGCAGGGGCGTTCCAACATTGTTTAACGATTCTCATGAAATACTGATTATTCTGAGAGCTTTACCTGAAATTAACCCAGAAAGTCCCTATAACGCAGAACTACATAACTTTCCGGGCAAATTCATTTGACTGGTTTTGCCAATGGGAGCCAACCTAGCTTGTTCCACGAGCAAAGTGTGTTAAAAAAAAAGATGGGAATTGCTCATCTATCATCCATTTATTTAGCTGTACTGGAACTGAACCCAGGGCCTTATACATACTCAGGGGCTCTACCACTGGGCTACATCCCAGGCCCCCACCCACAACTCAAAGAGTGGCGGGTCCTTTCCCGGAGTACTAAGCACGCGGGTGTCGAGGCTGCACAGGCTGAACCCGAGTCCAGGTGGGAGGGACACGCACCGGCCGGGTGGGAGGACGCAGTGTCGCAGCGGTGCAGCCGCTGCACCTCCAGGCAGCCGGGCACCCCGACCACGCTGGGACTGCAAGCCCCCGCCACCCACAGCAGCAACGCAGACCCACGCGACCCCCGGCGTTTGGCCCGGCCCCCGGAACCTCGTGCCACGGAGCCCGGCCGTGCCCGCAAAGCCCAGGGCACCGAAGCTCGAGCAAGCGGGACCGCGGAGGCTCTTCTGAGGCCGCCTCCCGGATCGCACTTCCAGCCCGGGCCACGCGTGGGATGGAACTCACCCCGCGACGGCGCCCCACCTCCTCGCAGCCGGTACGGCGACCTGAAAGCCTTCGGAGCCCGACAGCGAGAAAAGTCCTCCTAGCCGCGAGCGCGCCGGAGCCCGCGTGCAGCTCCGCCCAGGGCCCGCCCTTCGGCACGCCCCGCCCAGGCCCCATTGGCCCCTGCGGGTCTTCACGCACCAGGAAGGAACCGTGGAAAACGAGCCTTTTCCGGGGGTGGTTTTATGCCACCTGGAGCCTCCGCCGGCGCAAAGAGGTCAATTTGCACTATTTATACCCTAGAGCTTTTTAGTTTGAAAAATGTGCTAACTGACCGAAAACTGTGAACAGCGTACCTTTAACCCAGTCTCCAAATGCTAACATTTCGCAACATGTGCATTCTTTCTGTATCTTCCTCCTACCCATGAACAAATGGAAGATCACAAACAAGAAATTGAATACTTCTCAATCATACCGCATATTCTACCTTATTTATATATTTCCTTTGCTGTCTCAAAATGTCATCCATACATGCACTCACACACATAATAAATACAAGAGCTATTGAGAATTAACCCAATACATTTGAACTCTTTTCTCATAACTTGGTTTAGAACAATATCCTCCTAAATTTTTCATAACTTCTCATACTTGCAGTCCATATCAACTGTCTTGTACACTGAATCACGTTCTGGATTTATGGAATTGTTTCCTCATGATTAGATTACAAAGCGGAAGGTAGAGCGGGGTGGGGGGCGGGTACTCACATTGCTTCCCTTTACTGGGAAGGTGCACACTGCTAGTTTGACATCACCATTCACCAGGCTAAGAGACCAAAGTCCACCACTTGCTCGAGGTTTTATCTAGCTCTTCTCTCCTCAACAAAGTTCCCATCTGCAATGAAGATTAATATCTGCAGGGGTACACTAAAACCTACTGAATATTTTGTGCCCAACAATCCTTTATCCAATGAATATAGCATACATTAATGACCACTTATTACAACAGTTGTATAGTATTGTGCAATTCTAGCACCTTTTTCCGTATTTTTTAAAGATATTTATTATTTTTATTTTATGTGTATGTGTGTATTGCCTGGATGTAGGTAGATGCACCCGCATCGTGCAATGCCCAAGGAGGACAGAAGAGGCTGTCAGATTCCCTGGAACTGGAGTTGCAGACAGCTGTTAGCTGCCATGCTGGTGCTGGGATTCAAATCCAGGTCTTCTGCAAGAACAGCCAGTGTTCTTACCTGCTGAGCCATCTCTCCAGCCCCTTTCCGTATTTTTTTAAGCCAGCATTCATGTCTTTAAAAAGAATATCTTGGGGCTAGAGAGATGGCTTAGTGTTTAAGAGCACTGTCTGCTCTTGCAGAGAACCCTTGGCTCCCAGCAATCCATGTAGTGGCTAACAACTGTCCTTAACTCCAGAGTTCCAGGGAATCTGATGCCCTCTTCTGGACTCCACAGACATTGCATGCACATGACACACAAACATGCAGGCCAAACGCTCATACACATAAAAATAAATGAAAATTGGGGCTGAAGAGATTGCTCAGTGGTTAACAGCACTGACTGCTCTTGCAGAGGACCTGGGTTCAATTCCCAGCACCCACATGGCAACTAACTGTAACTCCAGTTCCAGGGGATCTGATGCCCTCATCTGACCTCTTCGGGCAGTGCATGACATGGGTGTACCCACGTAATGCAGGCATTACACTCATACACATAAAATAAAAATAATAAATAAAATATTTTAAAATATTTATTAGACTGGCTTACATAATATGGTCTGGGTAGTCTGACAAGGGCTGCCTGCATGCTGGAGGAGCTAAAAACCCCTTAGCTGCTCAGTCCACGAGACTGGGTACCTCAGCAGTCCCAATCTGTAATCCAAGGCCTGGAGGATCCCTTCAGAGTCACTGGTCTTCAGTCCATCTTGGAAGGACTACAAAGCTGGGTTCTGATGTCAGTGAGGGAATGTAGCAGCAACACTCACCAGCAAGAATCCAAGGCAAGCAGGCAAAAGCAAAAGCTAGAGGCTGATCCTTACAGGTTTCTCCAAGGCTTGATTCTAGTTCCTATCAGGTTGATGATCAGTACAAACCATCATGAACAGTATGCCTTCTACACACAGATATGATTAAATCAGGAGTAATAGCTCTAATTCAAAAGCCTACACCATAGAGTTCACTCTAGCCTTCTCTTTTCCATATTGCACGGTTCATGTACGGTAGTGAATACCCTCATTCTCACAGAATTCATGTACTGACGTATTAGTCCTGTCATTTATACAAAATCATTGATTCTACACCAGGAATGGTATCAACAGGTTGATGACACATGGGCTGTGAATGAATTTACCAAAGGCAGAAGTACAGTTTGCTGGATACACTGCGATCCACCCACAGCAGGTAAAACACTAGAGAGAAGCCACCTGCACATAGGTGTGCTAAGCAACTGATTTTATGTGGTAGGGAGTTCTGTGCAGTCAGTCACGCAACCTTTCAATGTCACAGAGTCCTTGAAATAACTGCATTTGAGACTTATCTCCTTGAAACAGTGATTGTTTGCCCTGGGTCAGAAGTGGCTCAACACAACTAAGGTCCTTTTCTCCATCCACATTTTGCAACTAAGGCTGACTATGACTAACTCTTTCCACCAAGATAAGGTCCTGATCAGAGGCAGCTGTGACCTTGCTCTGAGCGCAGCCTATTCTGAGGCTAGAATGGTTCCATGCATCTCAGAATGACCATGTGACACACCGGTAGCACCACCAGCAACCCACCCATGAAGTTTCAGACTTCCTTGCAGGGTTTTGTTTGTTTTTTTTGGGGGGGGGGGAGAGACAGGCCCTCCCTGTAGCCCCAGCAGGCCTGGAACTCACTATGTAGACCAGGCTGGCCTCAAACTCACAGAGATCCACCTGCCTCTGCCTCCCAAGTGCTGGGACTAAAGGCATGTGCCACCACACCTGGCTCATTTTTTTTTGTTTTTGTTTTTTAATCTTTATAATATGTCCTTTAAATGTGGAGCAGTAAATGAATGTGCCCAAAAATTCTTCAATTAATGTGCTTTTCTTTTTAAAATCAAAACATTACACTTAGTTACTGAGAGAGAGAGAGAGAGAGAGAGAGAGAGAGAGAGAGAGAATATACGTCACAGGACAACTTGAAGAGTCAGTTCTCTTCTCTCATGTGGGTTCCAGAGTTCAAACTCAGGTCATCAGGCTAGGCAGCAAGTGCCTTGACCTGCTGAGCCATCTCTCAGGCCCTAATGTGCCTTTAAAAAATTTTTAATTTAATTTTTATGTGTATGTGTTTTGCATGCAAATTAAGTGTATCATATGCATGCAATGTCCACAGAGGTCAAAAGAGGGCATTGGATTCCCTGGAACTAGAGTTGGACAGTTTTTAGCACCCATGTGGGCACTAGGAACCAAACTTGGGTCCTCTGCAAGGGCAGACACAGTTCTCTTAACCTCTGAGCCGTCTCTCAGGGCCCCCGAACGTACTTTTCAATATGGTTTAGTATCAGTTTTCAGTTTTGACATCATTTTTACTCACATCAATTTTAGAGTTATCATTCCCATTCTTACTGCCATAACTCAACTCCCTTGCCCCTAACAGTAACCACTTCTGTCAATAACTCACCATCGTTAATTTTCAGTATGTTATCTATGGTTATACTACAACTGCTAAATGTTTCTGTGGTCAGTTACTCAGTTTCTGTGCATAATCAAACCAGGAGGAATTGGGTACTGATTCCAATACATTGAAAATTGCTTACAAGACAAGACTGTAGTCAGGGTCACTTGGGGCTGAAATCATCTCAAGGCTTGTTGAGGGAAGGGAGGTGTTGGGAGGGAGGAATGTTTCGAGGAGGAGGTTGGGAGGAGTAATGTTAGGGTGGGGCACTTTCAAGTTCACAAAGACTCCCTACTGGAAGACCTTGGAAGATCCTGTTTGAGGCTCATTCTTTCTGTTCACAGGTTTCAGGCCCAGGCAGGTCACTGATTGGTGGAATCATTTCCTGAGGTTGCTGTAACAAAGTACCACAAACAGGATTGATTCTCTCAGAATTCCAAAACCTACACATCAATCAGAACACAATGTGACCGTAGAGTGTATTCTCTCTGGGGCTGGGGGGAGGGGTTTCCTTGCCCCTACCAGGCCTTTGCAGAGCCTGACAAGGCGTGACATTTCTTTTCACCTGCAGCTCTGCCTCTCTCTGACCTCTGTCTGGGCTTTCAGATGGTATTCTCACTGAGTGTCTCCACACCCAAGTTTCTTTTGTAAAAGTACTCTAATCCAACACCTTGCTTTACAACGTCTAGAATGTTCCCCCAAAGGCCCATGTATGGCGTCTTCATCTAGAGCTTAGCACCACTGGGAGGTGGTAGAAATTTTAAAGGTGGGGCCTAATGGGTGGTCCTTCAGTCCTTAGGTGTGTTTTTGAAGCGGGTAGTAGGATTTCAATCCATTCCTCTTCTATCTTCTCCTGGCTGTAAGGTGAGTGGTAGTGACTTTGTCACATGCTGCCTGTGAACTTGCCTGAAAACAAAGGGCCAGTCAGTCAAGGACAACAGCCTCCAAAATTGTAAACCAAAGTATCCCTTTTCTCTAAGTTGGTTGTTTAGGTATTTGTTATAGTCACAGAAAGCTGACTGGCATTTCCAGTATGACCACATCCAACTTTATCACCTTGACAAAAAGCACATGTCTAAGTACGGTCACAAGGTATGTATCTTTGGGGAACACAGTTAAACCCACAACAGCTGAAGATAGCAGTTTCCTGCATCATGGACCTGTCTATAAAATTGTTCATGACATGGCACCATTCAAGGGGCAGGGGGCTTCAAAACAGAAGCCATGGTCTTTTGTGACTCCCTGCTTTGTTCAGTTTGCTAGAAGCAAGTCAACATCTACCCCACATTCAAGGGGAAATGATTATATACAAGCATAAATACCAGGAGGCAAGAATCCTTGGGTGCCACATAAGAGGAGGCACACAGGGGTTGCAGAGACGGCTCAACGGTTGCTGCTCTTGCAGAGGATCAGGGTTTGAATCCCAGCACCCATATGGTGGTTAACCACCATCCTACTCTAGTTCCAGGGGATCTGAAGCCCT